GATATTTGCGCCGTGTCTAGATCAGTCCCTAATATTTTCACATTAGATCGGTATTCGCGCCGTCAAGAATGGATACACCCTTAACTGGCGTCTGCTGAACGTCTGATGATTAAATCAAGAACTCCGTGTATACTGTTTGGCGCGGGTTGGGGAAGGGGGGGGGGGGGGGGGGGGGCGCTTAAATAAATAAGGGAAATAACTCACGGTTAATAAGGCAAGTAGAAAAGGGGCGGTAATTCTAGAGGCTTTGTTTTATGGCTAGTTTTTTTTTCTTTTCTCCGCTGTTGTAGATGGTACAGACAGACAACAGACGTTTTAGTACGTAAAAGCTTGCCTGCTAGGGGATGGGGGGGGATTGTGGGGACGGGGGGGTTGTGGGGGTGTGGAGGGGTGGGCGAGAAGATGAACGATGTTAAGAAGGGGAAAAGAGGGGGGGGGGGGGTGTGGTTGGTAGACATTTTGATTGTCCCAGATATAACTTTATCCACTTGAGGTGTACTGCTGAAAAATACTCCCCCCCTCCCTCCCATCTCTCCAAACCACGTTTCTCTTTACCTCAATATATCAAACGGTGACCATGTGACCTCACCCCCCCCTCCCCCTATGCCTATATGTTCAATAGACCGTGATACGAGTCCCCCCACAGCCACCCGTTCTGGAGCCGGTTCTCGATCCAGGCTTTTGAGGTCGTCCAATTAAAATATTAAACCCTCGTAAAATTTGCAATGAAATGTTGATTTCCCTAGCTGCGCTGAGGCGAACACATTGTTCGCCAGAACGGATCCCGTAGGGTTTTTATAAATTCTTGTTCGCCACAATACTACCGTAGCGCAATTATCCCTGTGACCTAGAGTCCCACTAAAAATAATTTTACAAAAAATTACGAATGAAAAAAAAAAGGTTGTAAAATCTCATTAAATTTTTTTTTAGATCACTTTTGATATCAATTGTCTAGCCATATTTAAAGAATTGGAATATGAAACTATAAAATGATAACTACAGTATAACTCAAACGTAAAACTAAACCATGCCCCCCCCCCCCCTTAACAAAATGGAATTTGTATAGAAAATTTTATCAGCGTCCGCCCCCCCCCCCCCCCCCCCTTCCGGAAAATTGACCCCCCCTGAAAATATCAAGTGCCCCCCCACCCCCTCATCGGAGAAAAAAATCTGAAAGAAACACTGGTCATATAGCGTATGTATCATGAATATAAAGTCCATTACTAAAACACTGGCCTATTCGAGTTTTCCCCCTAACCATATCTGTATAGTAAGCTGCGAAAAATGTGTACTCTGTCCATTTCTCCAAAAAAATAAACATAGTTGACTAGTATCACATGAGATTGAAAAAAAAAAACGGTTTTAGTGTCGAGGGAAGCCTATGAAAGTAATATCAAACCTAGACCTCATCTCACCACCATTGGGATGAATTTGGGAAACCTGATATTTACAATTGTTTACGTGAATAGGTCTTAACAGCCCCCCCCCTCCCCCCAACACAAAACCCCTACTAACAATAATAAACCTACCTCTCTAGGTTTAAATAGCGCTATTACTTATACGACTAATAGAAAAAAAAAAACGTCGACGTTTTAGTGATTTTAAAGAAAAGAAATAATTTCAGCACCGATTCTGCTAATTACTTTACAGACGATTCACTCAACCGTGCAGCTCTAAACACGATGAGAATATGAGAGCACCATTGTTCCAGCGCGCCCCCCCTCTCTTCCCACGCCCCTGGAGAGAAGATGAGTTTTCGGCTCCCCTCCACCGCTCAATGTAATGATTCTTGTCGCCAAATCTCATCGCCAATTCCAGTTACAACGCCGCGGATTACCCGGGCCATCTTGTGAGCGCCGAAAGTCAGACATGCGCACAAAAGGCTGTCTCTACAGGCGTTACTTCCGGCTGTAAAGCCTCGTCTGCGGCCCGCGGGGAGGCGACTCTAGGAGTAGCCAGACTGTCAACATTGAGACGGAAGGGCGGGGCCAAGTCAATTCAGCGCCCGCCGCCGGCAGACGAGATTTCAAAGGGCCGTAATTTAATACTGGACGGGCGACCAGCAAGACGTCTGCTACATGTTGCTTTCATTCAAGGCAGCAGCGGACGCGCAGTGAATCTCAAATTGTGACACGCGGTGAAAAAAAAAGTCTAATTAATTGCTCATAACAACAGCCTACTCAGAGAATAGATACGTATCTAACTTTGTGAAGAAAAATAATGCAAAACCTGAACACTGTAGGAACAAACTATAGGTCGTAACTCTACCGATATTTTATGTTTAGAAATAGTGCACACATTTAATTTTTAAAAAAATAGTCTCCTGCGTAGTATTTAAAATAAGAATTCTTTTAAAAACAACAATTCACCCTATGCCCTATAGAGATTAGACACATAAGACCAGCAGTTCCATGCTAAAGAATCAAATACATTTTGTATCAAAACGCTCCTTCAAATCCGTGACGAAAAATTGAATACAGGGTCATCCATTTATGACGTCCACAATTTTTTTGGATTTGCCCCCCCCCCCCCCCCCCCCCCGTCCACAAAAAATTCACTTTTATTCCTTATACAAGTACATATGCGTCCACAAAAGTCAGTTTTTTTCGGACCCCCCCCCCCCCCCCTCCGCGTGTGGACGTCATAAATGGATGACCCCTAGCAGGAATACCAATGACTCAATGTCTGGATCGATTGGAAAGAATGTTTTTTTTTTTTTTTTTTTTTTTTTTTTTTTTTTTTTTGTAGTGAATTACAAAATTACAGGTGTGATGGTTTAGAGATCTGGCAAATATATAAGCAAGACATGGCTTCGGATGGTGAGGAAATATTAGGTAATTAAAGTCAGAAATGACCTCTTTCTTTTTTTTTTATGGTCAGTTTGTTGAATACCCATCTGGGTCGTTACTGACTCGTTACCAAATGAATGACCTAGGGTATATTTTTATAAATGATCAGTTTGAAAAAAATACTGCACACATTGTATGTTATTATTATATGTTTTATTTACTTTAGACAGTAATATTTATTTACATACACTTTCAGTTCTATGTGAATATTTGATGGTTTAACTTGCTAAACCGGCTATCGTTTTTTTTTTTTTAAATTACACCTATCCTAATCAACTGTAGAATTAAACTTATTTTAAGCTCACAATTTAAAAAAATACAAATGATATAATTCAAGAGAAATATTTCAAAAGTGAAATTTCAACGTCCAAGGATTTGCTGACCATAATGATTCAAACAACTCAAACTTTTATTTGACAAAAAAAAATGTCCCAGGATTTGCTGACCATAATGATTCAAACAACTCAATGTTTTATTTGACAAAAAATCTCATGTAAAATTATGTAATAAAATTATTTATCAGTACCATGCTATTTGTCACTGTTATTTCGAAAGTTCTATTATTTGTAACTGTTATCTTTAAAGTTCTATTATCTGTCAATATCTGTTTTCTGTACAGTCATGTTTTATATTACAATCTGTTATTTGGAAGTTTTGTTATTAGTTACTTGTTCATCACATAGCTCAAAGTTATTCTTTTATTTTCACTACTTCAATACTGAGGTCATTTCTCTGTAGAGTTGGTCATTATAGTAATGTATTTTATATACACTGGACAATATTGATAATCAAACTTATCATTTCTTGATAGATGAAGACAGTTTTTCTCCTGAAAAAAAATGTAAAAGAAAAAATTATATTGACCTGCCATCAATTCTAAAAAAATGTGCGATTTAAAGAAAAGCATATTTGCAAAATTTAGTAGAGTGAATAGATTGCATGGTCAGCCCAGTACATTGTGGACCATTTACTTTCCCCAATTCAAGCCCAGGTATCTATGGGACGGAGTGGTCTAGCGGTAGAGAGCTGGACTGCTAACCCGTAAGTCTTCGAGTTCGAATCCCGGTTCAAGTCAGTAGACCATAGACCGTCAGGTTTGAAAAGGGATCTTAACTAACTTACTATCTTACCCATCTAAGCTGATACTAGTTTTTCTTCCTGACTTTTTTTTTATCGGGGGGGGGGGGGGGTTTCTACTTTTTTCGGGACGTGGGGTGGGGGGAGCTCCGTGCCTTCCGATCTGCTGTATGGCTTTACGAATATACATTGAACATAGAACAGAACAACTTATATAAAATACAAATAAATGCAAGTTGTGTCAATGCTTAATGGTAGTCATATATTTATACATTTTTATTGAACATTTTCCCCCAAAAAGTATTAACGGAGGTATGATTTGAGACTCCCCCCCCCCCCCCCCCCACACACACAAAATCACTCACTCTTGCAAATATTAGAATTCGTATGATTGAACTAGTTATAAAACCCGTCTGTTTTAGTAGTGCCTTGCTTTATAAATAGCACCAAACCTACCAGGTTTAAGGACGGTGTACGGGGTCTCCATGCCTTGCTTTATAAATAGCACCAAACCTACCAGGTTTAAGGACGGTGTAGGTCGACTCCATGCCTTGCTTTATAAATAGCACCAAACCTACCAGGTTTAAGGACGGTGTAGGTCGACTCCATGCCTTGCTTTATAAATAGCACCAAACCTACTAGGTTCAAGGACGGTGTAGGTTGTCTCCGTGCCTTGCTCTATAAATAGCACCAAACCTACCAGGTTTAAGGACGGTGTAGGTCGTCTCCGTGCCTTGCTTTATAAATAGCACCAAACTCACCTGGTTTAAGGACGGTGTAGGTCGTCTCCATGCCTTGCTTTATAAATAGAACCAAACTCACCAGGTTTAAGGACGGTGTAGGTCGTCCCCATGTCTTGCTTTATAAATAGCACCAAACCTACCAGGTTTAAGGACGGTGTAGGTCGTCTTTATGCCTTGCTTTATAAATAGCACCAAACCTACTAGGTTCAAGGACGGTGTAGGTCGACTCCATGCCTTGCTTTATAAATAGCACCAAACCTACTAGGTTCAAGGACGGTGTAGGTCGTCTCCGTGCCTTGCTTTATAAATAGCACCAAACTCACCAGGTTTAAGGACGGTGTAGGTTGTCTCCGTGCCTTGCTCTATAAATAGCACCAAACCTACCAGGTTTAAGGACGGTGTAGGTTGTCTCCATGCCTTGCTTTATAAATAGCACCAAACTCACCAGGTTTAAGGACGGTGTAGGTTGTCTCCATGCCTTGCTTTATAAATAGCACCAAACCTACCAGGTTTAAGGACGGTGTAGGTCGTCTCCATGCCGGCGAAGATGTGGTCCATCACGTGACAGTGGATGAGCCAGGTGCCCGGATTATCTGCGATCAGCTCTACCGACTCGGCCATGCCGGGGAAAATCTGGATGACGTCATCTCGGTGTTTCTCACTGGTGTGGACGAAGGTGTGTCCGTGCAGGTGCATAGTGTGCAGGTCTGTCTGTATTAGGTGTGTCACGTGTCATCAATTTGTGTCGAAATACAGTTTATCATAAATTTGTACTTAAACTCATTGTCTAAATCTCATTTCTGTCGCATGGTATTATCATAACAGATAGCTTCTCTTGCTATTTGAACTTTAAAAAAAAATTTTAAACAATGCCACTGAGAGTCAGATGTTAAGACTAATCCTAACCAGACTTATCCTAACCAGACTAATCCCAGCCAGACTAATCCCAACCAGGCTAATCCCAACCAGGCTAATCCCAACCAGGCTAATCCCAACCAGGCTAATCCTAACCAGGCTAATCCTAACCAGACTAATCCTACACAGACTCAACCAGACTAATCCTACCCAGACTAATCCCAACCAGACTTATCCTAACAAGACTAATCCCAACCAGACCAATCCTAACAAGACTAATCCCAACCAGACCAATCCTAACAAGACCAATCCTAACAAGACTAATCCCAACCAGCCTAATCCCAACCAGCCTAATCCTAACGAGACAAAAAAAAAATTCAGTACCTCGCCTCCCATGGCGGCCATGTAGAAAACGACCTTTGACCCATATTCGATAACGAGGTTGTGGTTGTTCCCAGACAGTCGTCCATTGATGGCGTGTTTCTTGTTGCTCTCTACGAACTCTTCATCGTTTCTGGCATGTAGTAATGTGATAAATACGTGTAAAAGTGACTGTAAGGACTTTGCATTTATGGACGGGGCGGGACAGTTAACGAATACATGCAATGAGTAGTTTTCGATGTAAAGATTAATTTAACCTGTTCAGATCAAATCGTCATATGGACAAATGAAGTAGGTTTGGTTTGGTGCTCTGACCTTGTCACTAAAGTATATTGTGGTCATAATTACACTCAACCTCCTTTAATTACCCAACTCAAGCCAGGTACCCATCAGAGCTGAGTAGACTCGCGGACGTCTATCCGATGAATAAACGACTTGGAGACAGACCTACGGCAGCTTGTAGTCTGTCAAAGACGACAGACAAGTCTAAATGGCAGAAAGTGGTAAAGCAGGCCAAAGCGCTCAATAGATCGTTGAGCAATTGTTATTGAGATGGATGAATTGACGGATAAAAGATTCCACTTAACCCTTAAGTACATCACAAAGCAGAGCTGCAACACTGATTACTGTGTCAGTTATTCTAACATACAAAGAAATTAAAAGAACATCAGGCATTGCGTCCTAATTATTACAATATGTGCACATGCCTAGCTTACCTACATGTTAATTTCTGGCAAGCATACGATCCGGCGCATGTACACACCTAAAGACACACCCACCATATAAACAACTCATTAATACTTCAAGTCTAAGACCCTTCAAGTCTAAGACCCTTCAAGTCTAAGACCCTTCAAGTCTACAACTTTTCAAGCTACAACCCTAGAGCGCAATAATACGATTTCCTTGACCAGTAACTAGTGAAACAAAAACTCAAGGCAGCCAGTGACGTCAACACCTCACCTGTAATCCGTCCCCACCCGCCCAGGTGCGAAGTTCCTGATGTTGTCCTCCAGGTACCAGCTCAGGTTCTCGTCCGAGACGGACATGTAGATGTAGAGTTCCTGGTCAACGTCCTTCCTCTCAGACCTCTTGTTCAGAGTTCCGCGCCTGGTGATAGCATGTTAGCTTAAAAGCCGGAGTAAATGTGAATCTTATAACCTTGTGATTACAACCGAATCATACACCAGGTGATTAAATGTGAGTCTTAAAGTGTGGTAGGTAGACACTAGTCGTAGAATTAGGTGCGAATAATCTTCAATGCCAAATAGGCTTACTCTTAAAAACGACCAGCTTGGTGAAAAGAACGACAAGGACGAAAGAACGACATGGATGAAAGACCGACATGGCCAAAAGACCGACATGAACAAAAGACCGACATCGATAAAAGACCGTCATGGGCAAAAGACCGACATGAACAAAAGACCGACATCGATAAAAGACCATTACGGGCAAAAAACCGACATGGACAAAGACCGACATGGATAAAAGACCGTCATTGGCAAAAGACCGATTTATACAAAAGAAAATATAAAGCCTACAAAACAAAATGACCACTAAAGAACTTCTACTTTTTTAACCCCCCCCCCCGCCTCATATATACACAGTGGTACACATAATCATCCAGCGACCATCATTAGTCCATAATGCAGATCGAACAAGCATTATTACATTTAAGTAACAACAGTTTAAAAAGTTAGAAGAAATATTTTGTCATACTTTGATAAAACAGCCGCTTCTACCTGTGAGTACGGTAGTTTTACCTGGAAATGACAACTGTCTTACCTGTAAATGACAACAGGCTTACCTGTAAATGACAACAGGCGCACCTGTAAATGACAACAGGCGCACCTGTAAATGACAACAGGCGCACCTGTAAATAACAAAAGTCTTACCTGTAAATGACAACAGCCTAACCTGTAATTGACAAGACTTTACCCTCAAACGGCAACAGCTTACCTGTAAATGACAACAGGCTTACCTGTAAATGACACCAGGCTTACCTGTAAATGACAAGACTTTACCCCAAACGACAACAGCCTTACCTGTAAATGACAACAGGCTTACCTGTAAATGACACCAGGCTTACCTGTAAATGACAAGACTTTACCCCAAACGACAACAGCATTACCTGTAAATGACAACAGGCTTACCTGTAAATGACACCAGGCTTACCTGTAAATGACAAGACTTTACCCCAAACGACAACAGCCTTACCTGTAAATGACAACAGGCTTACCTGTAAATGACAAGACTTTACCCCAAACGACAACAGCCTTACCTGTAAATGACAACAGGCTTACCTGTAAATGACAAGACTTTACCCCAAACGACAACAGCCTTACCTGTAAATGACAACAGCCTTACCTGTAAATGACAACAGCCTTACCTGTAAATGACAACAGCCTTACCTGTAAACGACAACAGCCTTACCTCCAAATGACAACAGCCTTACCTGTAAATGACAACATCCTTACCTGTATGTAAATGACAACAGCCTTACCTGTAAATGACAACAGCCTTACCTGTAAATGACAACAGCCTTACCTGCACATGACAACAGCCTTACCTGTAAATGACAAGACTTTACCCCAAACGACAACAGCCTTACCTGTAAATGACAACAGCCTTACCTGTAAATGACAAAATCCTTACCTGTATGTAAATGACAACAGCCTTACCTGTAAATGACAACAGCCTTACCTGTAAATGACAACAGCCTTACCTGCAGACGACCATCACCCCCACCAGACCAGAGTTCACGTCCCTGACAGCCTCGACGGCCGAGTAGTACAGCCAGGGGACACAGTTGGGGTCGTTGGGGCCGGGACCTGACCGTTCAGGGATCCCCCACTCGTAGGTGACCGTCTGGCCCGGCTTGACGCGGGTCGCCCGACCATAGTCCATGCCGCTGTTCTGTTGGCTGGGACGGGGATCGACATCCGTTAGAAAGCGTAATTAAACTTAATGGATATGGAGGGGGGGGGGGGGGGGAGGGGAGTGTTTCATTAACGAATTCACTCTTTTTAAAACGGTTTTAAATTCCCCACCCCTCACAAAAAGCCATACCCCCCTCCCTAAATGGAATGGATCATATCGCGCGTGATATGAGGGTCGGTTCGGTCAATGGACGATCTAAGGCATCGAGCCCAGGATCCGAACTCGTGACTTTCATGAGCGCGAGGCTACCGCTGGACCACGCCGTCCCCCAATTACCTCATTCTAAATAAGTCGATTGTTTTTTTTAAATAGCTATTAATTTACAAAATACTTATTGAGTTCGTTCAACACTGAATAGATTGAACACTTTTAATTACGTTTAACACAAAAAAGTCTTTTGAAATCCGCGAAATAACATCAAATTTTCAGGTTCTAAGATTACATTTTAAAATGCTTCAGTGTATCGTCACACTTGTTGAAACTCCCACTTTCTCGCCTTTGTCACATTTCGTCACTAAAGTCCTCTCCACCCTAGAAGTGTTTATGGACTAGTCCTATACCTTAACAATCCCATTCAATTTTTCCAGGGCCCTAATTCTCAGAGACTTTATATGAGAGCGTATATCTTCAGGCATATTAACATCAGTATAAAGTTTTATGGTATGATCCAACTGAAGTATTTGTTGGTTAGGCATAACTATGGTTAATGATTGAAATGCCTGACGTTTCATAACGGTCGCATACTGCTTTATATCAGGGTGTATTGCAATATCCGAATCTTTATTTTTTACAATTATAAATCAAAGGTATTTTGAAGTTTTTCCAGGTGCGAAAAATTATTACCGTTTAGAAAATTTTACCGTATAATAAAATCGGAATGCGAATTCTATTTTTTAATTCATTTGCCAAAATTCTTGGTGAGAGGTTGTTTTTTTCCTAAAATGTAAACTAGTATTTTCTTAAAAAAAAAACCCAGCCCACCAACGAATTATATACCAAACAAAACAAACATTCCCACACACCCCCCACCCAACTTCATACACTGCCCCCCACACACATTCGCACATCATACCCCCCCCCCCCGCACACACACACACACATCGCACCTTGTGAGTACACCGTGACTGTGCATCGAGTACGGTCGACTGGCGTTATTTTTAAACGTGACCTTGACCGTATCACCGACTTCCGCTTTGATGGCCGGACCCAGCAGGTCACTGTCACGTGGTTTTGCATGCGTGAATTTGGCGTTGGTGTATTCTGTGAAGACGGCTTTCTTGTAGACCGTGCCAATGAAGTTTTCGTCATTCTTGTAGAAAATACTCGCTTCGCTGAAATATTAAGTGTTTTTTTTTAAGATAATATTTGCTTCCATGAAATATTAAGGTTTTATAGAAAATACTTGCTTCGCTGAAATATGAAGGTTTTGTTATAGAAAATTGAATATTTGATTCGCTGAAATATAAAGGTTATTTTTTTATAGAAAATATTCGCTTCGCTGAAATATGAAGGTTTTGTTATAGAAAATTAAATATTTGATTCGCTGAAATATAAAGGTTTTATTATACAAAATATTTGCTTTGCTGAAATAGGGAGGTTTTGTTATAGAAAATACTCGCTTCGCTGAAATAGGAAGGTTTTGTTATAGAAAATTAAATATTCGCTTCGCTGAAATACGAAGGTTTTATAGAAAATATTTTCTGCGCTGAAATATTAAGGTTTTATTATTTAAAATACTTGCTTCGCTGAAATATGAAGATTTGTGCAAAATACTTGCTTCGCTAAAATATGGAGGTTTGTGCAAAATATTTGCTTCGTAGAACAGAGGCGTAGCAGCCCATTTCGGCGCCCGGGGCGAACTATCAATTTTCCGCCCCCTCCCTCATATTCATATTACTAACTTTTTATTTTCTTAAGTTCGACTGTAATGCAGCTCGGAATAAACTTGTTATTTTATTTTTCTACCCAATTTTGCGCCCCCTTAAGGTCGGCGCCTGGGGCGGCCGCCCTACCCGCCCTCCCCTAGCTACGCCTCTGTCGCTGAAGAGGAAGGTTGTTTAGAAAATATTCGCTGCGCTCAAATATGAAGGTGTTATACAAAAGACTTGCTTCGCTAAAATATGAAGGTCGAAGAATAGGCTTTTTTTATAATACGGAGGTGTTTGTAGATCAAATTAATTTTAGTTCGCTAGAAAAAAAATCCTAACTGAAAAGTGGAGCAGTTGTTTTTTATTGTCAATCCCACTCCCCATCCACTATGGAAAGCAGTAAAAAATAACTTAAATACTGTTTGACTTTGTAAACAAATTCAGCATCGCCTGTTAGGAAAATATCAGTATCGTTAAAAAATTCAGCAGCGTTATCAGTATCGATACCTTGAGTTAATTTTGTTATCTATATCTATAACTTACGTAACTTTTTTGTATAGCCAATATTGAAACTGCAATTTACAAGTAATATAGATTTTAATTTACTTTATCAAAAACAAACCATTTGTTTGCTTTCCTACCAGTATCGATACTATAATTAACTGATTAATTAGTATCGATACCACAAGTTTACGTTATAAGAAAATTTGATACACAGGTTAACTATATTATCCATTTCTATACTACAAGTTTTTACATTTCATACATAAAAGTATTAAATAATACTTATTTGTGACTTTTTTTCCTGTGACTTTTTTCCAATGACTTTTTTTTTTATTTCCTGTTTTTTTCCCTGTGACTTTTTCCCCCCTAAAATCCATTTTGATATAAATCTCGATACCAAATTTCAACTATAATTTTAAATTCCACCCCCACGTTAACTTTACTTCCCATATCGATACCACAGGTAAACATTTTTTACCGATATCGATACCGCCACCTAAAAACACTGTCTCGCCACTCACGTCTCGTTGAGGGCGGCCCCTGTGATAACGCTGGTAGACCGGGGGGCGTATTCCCATAAAACTTCGTCAGCGGAGATGTAATACTCCCTCAAAGTGCCTTCCGCGTCGTCCTGTTTCTTTCTTTTACCTATGCAGTCTACGACGTTGTAAAAGGCGAAGGCGCCGTTGTCTCGAGCCAAGGTGGATTGAGAATAGAACATCCATTTGCCTGTGGATCAGTTGGTTGGATCATGCAAGAGATATGTTTTTTTGGGTGTTGTTGATAAAATAGTCAGATAACGCAATATCAGTTTTTGTGTTGATGGAGCGTGGTTAGATTTTAAAATCGCAGAGGGATAGACAGGAATACAGGTAGACAGGCAGACAGGTAGACAGACAGACAGACAGACAGATAGGCAGGAATGGCAGACAGACAGACAGAGAGACAGAGAGACAGAGAGACAGAGAGACAGAGAGACAGACAGACAGACAGACAGACAGACAGACAGACAGACAGACAGACAGACAGACAGACAGACAGACAGACAGACAGACAGACAGACAGACAGACAGACAGACAGACAGACAGACAGACAGTCAGATAGACAGACACACAGACAGACAGACAGGCAGGCAGGCAGACAGACAGACAGACAGACAGACAGACAGACAGACAGACACACAGACACACAGACACACAGACACACAGACACAAAGACACAAAGACACACAGACAGACACACAGACACAGATAGACACGGACACAAACAGGCAGGCAGAAAAGCAGTAAGAAAGAAAGGCAGAGAGACAAAGACGCAGCTATTCAGAGACAAGAAACACATACATACATACAGACAGACAGACCTATATTATCTGGCATCATGGTCAAGACTGCCGTGGACCCAGGCACCAACCACCGCCCGTCCCTGTTGGTGCCCATCTCCGTGAACGTGTTCCCGTCAAAGACCAGCGTGTGGACGTCAATGACGGAGCCCATGGCCATGACGTACCACATGACGTCATCGTTGACGCACATGTTGAGGGTGGGCATGTTGCCGTACGAGTAGCCGTTGATGCCTGCGTGGGGTAAGAACAATGTCAACATCAGCTACGACAATAAAACAACACAAACTTATCAACGTTCAGTGTTTAAGAATAACCGGACGTTCATAGATGACGTAAGGGATGGATTGGCTATATTGAAGAGACCCGAGAAATTTTAAAAGGGGCCCCCAACCCCAGATTAAAATTTTAATTATGCCTTTTTTTTCTCCACAATAGCCTGATGAAATGGTAAAATACCAACAATTTAAAATAAATTGAAAACTCTAATCAGCCTATTACATCACTGTTCCCGGGAGCGGGGGGGGGGGGGGGGGGGGGGGGCTCTCCCGAATTTTTCCCGGTAGACCGGCGGGCCAGACCACCCCTGGATGACGTCACACGCATGGTTATAGTGTGGGGTTGTAGGGGTTTGGATATAGATTGTAATGATGTGGTTGTGAAGGAAAGCCTAACTTTGCCATAAACCCTCTCTTAAAATGTCACCATACAAATTTGAATTTAAAACGCCATTACTTTCAAAAATATAAATCGAGTAGTGTCCCATTGCTAAAGATACATATAAATAAAACATGTTAGTTAGCCAAGTTTATTTTGTCGAATAAATCGCTATTAAATATTTAACATTTTTTAGCTAATCCTAGTAAAAATCTAGCTCAAATCGCTTGAAAGTATTGATATTATGAACAACAAATCCCAATGTTTCTTCCAGACTTTTTTTCTCCGGGGGCACTTGAAATTTTGGGGGGAGGAGGGGCGGACTAAAATTTCCGGCGGGGGGAACTATTAAAAGTTTAAAAGTATATATTTTATATATAAATTCTTTCGGGGGGGGGGGGGGGCGCCCGAACTAAAGAGATGCCTGGAAGAAACACTGCTCATGAACTAGAAAAACCATATCAATAACAGTACATCCAATTGTAAAATAAAAAACAGAAATCAATTAACTAAGGGAAACAACTCACTAAATCTTATGTTAGACAACTGAAACCCGTAGTCTCCCTTCATAGCGTCAGGTGACATGTACAGGGATTTGTTTTCATCAAACGTGGCCAAAAGAAGGAAAAATTCTAGAGGTTTCTAGAACAGAAAAAACATGTAGAACATGTATGGCATGTACAATTTTGTATTGTCTACTAAATCGCTGTATTTGTCTAACTACAGATAGAAAATTGTTATGTATTTTTCTCCGGGGAGGGGAGCTAATAGAAAACTTACAAGTATTTAAAAAAAAAACCCTCTATTTTGTCCCGAGGGTCTAAGTGTGTGTGTGTGTGTGTGTGTGAGTGGGTGGGGGGGGGCAGTGCCTGAATGAAACTCTGTTCTAGAACCCCCCCCCTCCCATACTTAAGTTACGTATTTTTCTTGTCCGTATATAATTAACACAACATGTAATTCCACACCACAAAAAAAAAAAAAAAAAAAAAAAAAGCAACGACGGAGCAACTAATTAACTAACAAACATGTCAGCTCCTCAACACAACCAAATGGTAGATATTTTTACCAATCCCTAATTCTGACCCTCCAACGACCCTTGAAGCAGAAGGAATATTATCAATTGACCCACACTGTGCCCAATTACCTGATCCATAATAGTCTTATATAAATGACCCATATAACAAACCAAAATCACCAATTCATTAACCAATTCCTATAGCCCAGGGGTCTCCAAACTTTTCAGTCCGAGGGCCGCATTAACTATCAAATTTCAGTTCGGGGGCCAGTTAATTCCAAACATGTCTTTTCTGGGCAAAGTTCCTCCGCCATCACCAACAAACGATTTTTCTTTGGGCCGTAATTTGGAGACCCCTGCTATAGCCGATCATTCAGTGACTTATGCACCCTACCGACATAGCTGTCCAACATAACAGACCCTCAGACCCGTATAAATAACCTCTTAGCTTCCTATAAAACTGAACCACTAGCGACACATACATCTGATCTATAAAACCGACTTATAGTAAAAGTAGTATAGCTCCCTTTCAAACCGGACGGTCTATAGGGCAAGAGAAGTAAAGTTCACTTGTTTCTGTGACCTCGGCATTTGAAGAGATAGTGTGGGCAGCACTATGCCCAGCCGCCTTTACTTTCCCTAACATGCGTTATGTACCCATCAGAGTTGGGTGGACTCAGGGACGGTCTACTGACTTGAAACCGGATTCGAACTCGAGACTTACGGGTTAGCAGTCAAGCTCTCTACCGCTAGACCACTCCATCCCCTATAACCGACATACAACACGCATTTAACCGATTAATATAACTGACAAAATGAACTGCCTCATATAGATTACCCATATAGCTGACCCTATAGCTGCCCAATATAACTGACCCACACAATGACCCACACAATGACCCACACAATGACCCACCTCTCGCCGTGACAAGAACCCTTTAGCACAGACCAACAGCTGACCCACAAGACCCGTGTTGTGGTCACGCCCTGGGTCGTGTGCTGACGTGTACAGGAAGTTGACGCACGGCTCGGGTCTGTCGTCCAGGAGATTGCCGGGGACCTTGAACTTGTACCTGTGGACCTCGTTCTTGCCCACCGACCCACCTGGGACACCTGGCCCGTCTGGAAGAGATGAGGAATTTTTGTTTTAATTTGACGTCACACATCTACACTTAAGAGGTCATCATTGTATGACCTCGGCAAGAAAATTAGAATTTTTTACCCTTGTGACTCTATCAATACGTGCCCACTTTGGTAGATCTCCCCCCCCCCCACACACACATACACACCCAACCGTTTACGTGGAAGTCCACATAAAATAAATATTCCCCAATACTTGTATCAAAACTTACTATTATAACATGTTTGTATATTGATGTTAGATTTATCGTGAGTAACTTTCTGACAACCATCCCACTCTCTCAACCAATCAAGCCCTCAACCCCAGCAACCACCCAACCAACAACCCAACAACCCAACAACCACTCAACCCCACCAGCCACTTACTGCAACAAACACTCAACCCACCTAACCAACAGCCTTTCAACCTACCAACCACTAACTATTTACCCCACCAACAACACAATCCACCAACCACACAACCCAACAACCATTCAACTATTCAGCCCGCCAACCCACCCTCCTCCACAAACAAACATCTCACCAAACAACTGACAAACACACCCCACCAACCAACATCCCACCAAACAACCAACCAACACACCAACCCACCAACACACCAACCCACCATCCACCCAACAACCCAAACCACTCAAACCACCAACCACCCAACCCACCAACCCAGCAACCAACCAACCACTTAACCCACCACCCAACCCACCACCCAACCCACCAACCAACCCAGCAACCAACCCACCACCAACCCACCACCCAACCCACCAACCCACCACCCAACCCACCACCCAACCAACCCACCAACCCAGCAACCAACCCACCACTCAACCCACCAACCCACCAGCCAACCCACCAACCCACCAACTTACCACCCAACCCACCAAGCAACCACCCAACCAATCAACCACTCACTCTTATCTTCCTCAGAGCTCTCATAACCAACTCCATGCACCATCAACGACACCGGAAACGGAATCAAGTTTTTTAACGTCACCACCAGCGTGTCTCCGACCTCGACCCTCAGGACCGGTCCCATGACCCCCAGGTGGGTCTCCTGTGGGGGTATGGTGACCTTGGTCCTGAAGGACGAACTTGTGTACTGGACGAACTTTGCCTTCTTGTATACGCCCCCTAGCCGGGAACTGCTCCTCTCAAAGTACGTTTTCGCTGTCCTGGAAAAATACAATGCGACAAAATGATTAAAAATTCAGGTAAAATGTAGTACCCAGCAAGGCCATATTGGAATTTAATCTGAATGTATTGCTATCCTAACATATGATGTCAAAAATAAAGTAAAGATTTATATTTAGACCTAGTGATCCATTGTGCAGGTGAAGTAGAGTTCATCTGGTTTTTTTTTAAAACCTTGGCATTTAAAGGGATAATGTAGTCAGCACATAGCTCAGACGCCTGTACATTTCCTAACTTGAGTTAGGTACCCAGGATTCGAACTCGAGACTTTCGGGTTAGCAGACCAGCGCTGTCCCATTACCCTAACACATGCCCAACCCTAAACCAAACCAAAACAAAATTACAATACTAAATTTAGCTTAACGCAATAACTTCTTTAAAATACAGTAGTCATAACCCGGTACGGACTGTTAGTAAAGGTTGCTAGAAAAATGCGCAATCGGAAAACTGCGCAATCTGAAAAATGCGCAAATATAAATTAATTATACTAAAATACTTTAATTTAGTCATAGTATTAATGTCTATAACTTTTTCGATTTAAGAAACGAAAATGCCATTGCGCACTTTTTTTTGTGCGTAGTTTTCAGTTGCGCTTATTTTCCATCACCGTTCACCATTACGAAGCTCCACCACAGTTGAAACTTTTGAAACACTAACCGTAACTAGGACGTTACACCAATTACTGGGCCTAAAACTTGTATTTAACTTATACTTTCAAACTTAAGTTTACAAATAAAATGCCGTTAATTATTAATGTATCTAAAGTAAGCAATTAATTATTATTCCCAGTAAGAAAGTAATCGTAAAAAAACATATTATGAAAATGTTATTATAGTATTATATTTTGTTATATAAAAATAAATTTTAAACATTACATGATAGTATGTTTGTGAACTATTGCATATTAACATGTAATAAGCTATCTATTTAAAAAAACGTGAGTTATTGGTTAGTAAAGCATTGAATTATTGATTTCTAAAAAAATGTAAAATAATGAATTCGTTAAAACACAGTGTGAATCAATGGCTGCTTACCTTTATAAAATATTGATTGGTAAAAAAAAGTAGATAAATTTTGTTCGCTTCAGCAGTAAGTGAAATATTATTAAAGAAATGTTAGTAATTCATACATTTAAAATGGCAGTGGATAGAGCAGATGAAGTAGAGTTTTTCACTAGCCTAAGCAGGCACATACAAAAATGTGTTAACCCTAACATTTCATTCACTTTCAATAATCACTGACAGATTTGAACACATGAACTTGATTTTGCTCAATCACTCTAGTAAAACACTATAATAAAACATTCTTTTTTTTTTGTGTCTTTTTTTTTCAAACAAATGTTGGTTATCCAAGAAGAGAGTTGGTTTTGTTGTAATTTTTTCCTTTTTTTTAATACTTTTATTTTCAAATAGAAATAATTACATCAGCATATACAAATGTGTTTGAGCTTTAGTCTGTAACATACTTCAAACATTTATTAAAATTATCATTACATGAAGAAAATGGTAAACAGTACCAAAAACAGAATAGTCGATCAACAATACAAATTAGATAATTAGAAATAAAGAAATATAAATATGGTACTTTCACAAAAAAAAAGTGTGCCATGCAACTATTAATTACGATATGATATCGGCTGAGCTAAGTAGGCAGTTGATGAAAATGTTAGTTATAGGTTGGCAGATATGGAATAATGTAAGCATACACAGCTTAGAAATATAGATGCAATTATGTAAGCATGTAGCGCTTACATCTATAGGTGAGTGCTAGTTAGTTAAGCACGTTTTCTACAACTCACGACCTAGATTCACGCCACCACGCCCTCCACAACCAGCTGTAATAAGATGGCGGATGATCTTTGAGAGTTGTGTCCCTTTGATTCTCCGTATTTGACGTCAGAGAATCGGGAATTTTCGTTAGTAAGCTGAACATAAGAAAACCATGTTGTTGTTCAAATAAATGGCTTAGTATGGTCTTGTTTTGGAACGTGGTGTAAAGAGGTTACACCAGAGGTCAAAACGAGGCTTTTAAGAACTGTTCATGTGTCTGGTGTTTTGGTGTTGTTACATTTTTTATGTGTATTTAGTATATATTTAAAAAAAAAATTAAATTGCTATAATGTGCATCTAACATTTATCATTTACTATACTCAATACAGTATTGATCAAACATCATTAATTATATACAAAAGTCTATAGAGATTCAACATGATTTACCTATGAAATTCAACGATGTGTAGACCTGCAATTATTTACCCGTGGAGTCGGTTTATCTATATACATACACTTATTTACCTGCGGAATCTGACTATCTGTACACATACAACTATTTAACTATGGAATTAGATTATCTGTTGACCTACAATTATTTACCTGTGGAATCGGATTATCTGTATTCGTACAATTATTTACCTGTGAAATCGGATTATCTGTATTCATACAGTTATTTACCTATTGAATCGGATAATCTGTATTCAGACAGTAATTTACCTATTGAATCGGATTATCTGTATTCATACAGTTATTTACATGTGGAGTCGGATTATCTTAATCCACCCTTAGCCATAGATAATCCTTAGCCTTACCTGTTGGGTGCGGTCAGCCCCATGCCTGTCCTCGCGTCTCTACCTGTGGGGGCGTAGTTCCAGACCGTCTCTTCGACTGCCAGGAAGAACTCGCGGGTGGCACCCCGACTCTCAGACGACTCCCCCTCCCCGTGGGTGGAGCAGGTTTTGATGTGGTAGAACGCTGAGATACCCTCTGTTAGGAGTACACGGAAAAACATGAAATCTTATCAGAACGTGGTTTAATACATAAGGATATTTTAAGAAATATTTTAGTAATAATTAATCCATGTTTAAATTATTGGATCAAGATAACATTAGGAACAGGGGTGGAAATGCAAGGGGTAAACGAAATTATGAAATAATCGCAATGGGGGAAAGCCCACTTGAAATGGTCATGGGAGGGGGGGGGGGGGCGACGACACTTGTTTGAGCATTTATTTTCTACAAAAATTTTTATTTCTATTTTGCATGGGGGGGGGGAATCATATAAAACTAAGGGTTGGCAATAATGAATGTGTCACCTTTTCCGTTGTCGTCCACCATATCTGTCACCAGCCAGTTGCCTGGTGTCTGTGCTGTGGTCACCACTGAGACGAAGGTGGCACTGAACACCGATACTGTGTCACCCCTGGGATGCAAGGGAATTAACTGTACACTTGGATTTCAACAATAAGGATGTATTGTGCTCAGGAGAAATTGCTTGCCAATGTTATGACGAAGCAAGGGTAACTAGATATATACGATGTGTACACATTTTTAAGTATGAAGGTTCAACAGTGTATTTTTATACTCACTCCAAACAAGTATTATTCTTATGAAGTGATTATTAACCATTTGGAAGTAAAGAACAACACCAGTTTCAAATGTGTATTCACAGAACCATTCTTAATTGTTCTATCTTAAGCGCCGACACAATCTGATCGCGAATCATACGAGTCGGGTGTGTGTCTTGACTTACACCAAACCCTGAGGTTGGATCGAACCCATGTAAAGGACAACTGTCCTCATCAGTGGCGTAGCGAGGTCGGTTGTCACCCGGTGCGGCACTTAATAGTGTCACCCCCTAGAGGCGTAGCGACCCTTCCCGGCGCCCGGGGATAAACTTTTAATTATCGATTTGCACCGCCCCCCCTCCCCTCCATCCTTGTCGGGATTTGTCAAATTGGCTCTTAAAAGACTATTTAACACTCGCATTAATCACTTAATTGACTGGAATTATCATTTTTCTCGATATATTTTGCTATTTTTTTGCCTTGGTGTCACCCCCCTAAATGGTGTCATCCTGTGTGGTCCGCACCCACCCACCCCCCTCGCTACGCCACTGGTCCTCATATATTAACACACTCTAACACCCTCACACACCCCAGCACACCCAGCACCTACTCACCTCCTGTGTTGAAACTTGAGATTCTGACCATGAAAGTGTAAAGAATGGATGTCCATCTCGTTACCGAAACCAATGACGTAGAACTGGACACGGTCTCCGACACACGCCTGCAGACACATTGGTCTTCTTTAAGACACATTCTACAAGACACATTCTACAAGACACATTCATATAGACACATAGCACAGCGACACCAACAGCAATCATCAAAACACAAAATCAAGATATAGCTTCTAAACAAAATTCGTTTTTGTTATTAATTAACGATTCACTTTTATTTATTCCTTATCTTATTTCTATTGTATATTTCACTAATCATCTATATATACAATTCTCTTCTAGGAGACGATAGAAAACACCAAGCTGTAAGCGCGCTCCCTACCACCCCCACCCCTACATGCAGTGTTTCTTCCAGACTGATTTCTCCGGGGGGGGGGGCACTTGAAATTTTCGGGGGGGGGGGGCGGTAAAATATCTTCGGGGGGGGGGGGGGGCGGACACTGTTAAAAGTATATATTTTCTATATAAATTATATAAATTTCATTTCGTTCGGGGGGGGGGGGGGCGGTAAAATTTTTTCGGGGGGGGGGGGGGGGGCTAAGTCCCCCCGAAGAGATGCCTGGAAGAAACTCTGCCTACATGGTCTGGTGAACTGACCTCTAACCCCTTAAGGGTACCGAACGACCTTCCATTGATTGACTTCTTTAAATTACTGTCTTGAAATTCTTCGTCCCCTTCGTCGATTGCGCGGCGACAAAGGTCAGGGTCAGGGCAGAAGAGGTCAAGGTTGTTCTCCAGGTGCCAGCTCAGGTTCTCGTCCCAGTTCATGACGACCAGCGGGTACTCACGGTCCACGTCCTGACGCACGTGTTTCTCATTCAGCACACCTGGAAATACAGGGGTAAACCTCAGGTGTGGCAGGTATAGTTGGTAGGTCAAAGGTTAAAGAGGCTTGGGGCGTAGCCTGATAGACGAAAGTCTGTTAAGGGTAGCCTTATATAGCAGTTTATCCTGAAGGGTAGCCTGATATACTTTTGATTGAGACAGGGTAGCCTCAATGGTAGACATGTAGTTAACAGATTATATATTTTTGGGTAGTCTCAAATGTAGCCTACAGTTTAGGTAGTTAACACTTAATCTTATATATTACCAAATGTATATGGTACTGCACGGTCGAGAGGTAGATCGCTCGACTGTGAAACCGAACACCTCGTTTTCGGATCTCGGAATCGAGTCTATAGGATGTCCCTGAGTTCAACTACCTGTTATGTGGATCTGACTCATGTAAGGGAAGTGTAAGCGTTCTGGGTAGGGGCTGGACACACTACCCCTTCAAGTGCAAGAGGTCACAGAAAGAAATGTACCCACCCTGTGTGCAGGTAACTAACAACCACACCTAACAACCCACCCTGTGTGCAGGTAACTAACAACCACACCGAACAACCCACCCTGTGTGCAGGTAACTAACAACCACACCTAACAACCCACCCTGTGTGCAGGTAACTAACAACCACACCTAACAACCCACCCTGTGTGCAGGTAACTAACAACCACACCGAACACCCCACCCTGTGTGCAGGTAACTAACAACCACACCGAACAACCAACTCTGTCTGCAGGTAACTAACAACCACACCTAACAACCCACCCTGTGTGCAGTTAACTAACAACCACACCGAACAACCCACCCTGTCTGCAGGTAACAACCACACCGAACAACCCACCCTGTCTGCAGGTAACTAACAACCACACCTAACAACCCACCCTGTGTGCAGTTAACTAACAACCACACCGAACAACCCACCCTGTCTGCAGGTAACAACCACACCGAACAACCCACCCTGTCTGCAGGTAACTAACAACCACACCTAACAACCCACCCTGTCTGCAGGTAACTAACAACCACACCGAACAACCCACCCTGTGTGCAGGTAACTAACAATCACACCGAACAACCCACCCTGTCTGCAGGTAACAACCACACCGAACAACCCACCCTGTCTACAGGTAACTAACAATCACACCCAACAACCCACCTTGTCTGCAGGTAACAATCACTCCGAACAACCCTGTCGACACATCCTGTACAGAATCCACATGAGAGTGATACACCCAGGGGAGGCAGTTCGGATCCCCCTCCCCAGGGGCGTCGTTCTCCGTGACGTTCCACACCAGGAGGATTGTCTCCCCTGGTACCACACCGTCATCTTCCTTCAGCAGGTCGGAGGTCCCGTCCTGGTAGAGAGCACCTGGAAAAATGGATGTCTTATGACAGACTATTGCACAATGACAGACAATGGCACAATGACAGACTATTGCACAGTGACAGACAATTGCACAATGACAGACTATTGCACAATGACAGACAACTTCACAACATGCTTTGAGGGGTTGGCTATTAATATACACTTTTTTTAAAATCGGATACGGGCAGTACTTTAGAAATTAGTTCACATTAGTGATTTAATTGAGCTAGATTGCTAATCCGGAAGTGTTTGAGTTCGAATCCTATTTTAGTCAGTAAACCGTCGAGTCCACCCAGCTCTGATGGGTAGGCCTACCTAACGCACGTTAGAAAAACGAAAGGAGTCTTGGCATAGTTCTGACCACTCTATCCTTTCATATGCCGATGTCTCTGAAGCAGATGAATTCCAGTTCGGTTAAGCTTATGGTTGCTAAACCGAAAAGTCCCGAGTTCGTTCCCCCGGGCAGATGAGGCTCGATAGCTGGGGTCAGGAACTCATCTAGAAGAACTCTCTAGTTCATCTGCCCCATGTGTCTTGGGCACGAACAGGAAAAGATGATGATGATGATTTAATTGACAGAGCTTATTATAAATAAATGGAATAATTGAAATTCTTCTTAAATATTTATGTTCTTGTTAAAGTCGCTGGTAAACCTTACCTTCGCCTCCCTTTTCATAGAACACACCATGCGGATGAATGGAGAAATTTCTGGAAGCGTTGTTGAAAAAGTGGACCAGGATGACGTCACCGACTTCGCCGTAAATGACCGGTCCGAGCAGGCCTAGGTATTCCGGCGCCGGAATTTCTTCCGTGAAGTTCTCATTCGTGTACCGGAAGTACAGAGTCTTCCTGAGACGGCTGCCGATACGGTTAGGTCCTGGCTTGACGTATTTGTCAGCTGTCCTATAGGACAAGATTTAAGGACATGCAGGAAAAGTATTTCATATTATGAGTTATTAACATAATTAATGTAACTGTGTCAAAAACGTACGAACACACACACACACACACACACACACACACGCACACATACACACGCACATATGTATCAGTAAAACTACAGTATGCATACATTTGATACACACATGTATGTTTATAGATGCTTTCTCTTAAGGTGTTTTGTCCAGATATATATCTATGAAATCATTTGTCCTAAGATTGGTTTTCCTATAATAAAATAATAACAGAAAGATAAAAACATAATATCCACCCTTCACCGGGCTTCTAAATCACGAGAAACGGACCAACACTATAAATTATGTAACTGGATAATAACAACTGTTTCCTATCAAACGAAACAATGCCTATGGTTAACGTATTACAGTGCAACTTTGTCTTTGACTACAATATATGAAAGAGTAATATGGTCATTTTTTATGCTAAAAAGCAATTCTTTTTCTTGCGTTGGGTATTTTAAATAGCTGAGTAGACTCAGCGACGAACAACGGCCTTCTTTCAAAACTACCGGATAATTAACAGAGTACTCTACCTTTAGACCACGCCGACTACATACACTATCACTTTTAGGCTCAAAAGCAATTCATTTTCTTGCGTTAGGTATTTTAAAGAGCTGAGTGGACTCAACGGACTTAATCTTTCGAAACTATCGGGTAATTAATGGAGTGCTCTACCTCTAGACCACACGGACTACAGGACCACACTGACTACATACACTATGACAGTTGTAAAGAAACCTTACTCTTGATCGTCCGGATTGGCCAGGTTTTTCCCGCCAGGTGTGTAGTCCCACGTGACCTCCTGGCTAGCTATGAAATATTCCCTCACAGCACATAAGCAGCTGGACACAAACATCAAGTGTAGCCACGTGATAACCGTCAAATGTTTGTTCATCTTTGTCTATCCGGACGGGAAATTTCAGGATAAAAAAATATTATGTAATGACTTGTTTCTAATTATACTGCAAATTTTAATCACCATCGTGGTTCATTTTCGAGGCATACATGTTTAACTGCATTTAAAAATAAAACATCACGAAATTAGGGTTCAATGAAAAGATTATAAAGAAACAAAGTTCTGAATACAATCTGTAATTAAATGTAAACAAGCTTTTAATGACCATATTAAATCTAATATCAAGACATAATTGTAATGACAATTTTTTACGTAAAATCAAGAGATGAAGTGAATTCAATTAGTTGATAAAATAAAGGAGCTTAGATCATTAACGAAAAACTAATGATGCATTCAGCTGCAGAGCGTACTATGTTACCTCAACTCTTAAAATGTAATATCTCTTTGATGATAATCTTACTTATAAACTGAAGTAACAAACAATAATATTAACAATAACGCTATCAAAAACTAGCAAAAACAACTTACCTCTTTGGTCAAAATGTTATTGCAAAAATAACAATTTTAAGATAAATATAGAAGCCTAGGCATATTAGAATATTATTTTTGTCTTTTTGAATCATTAAATAGAAGAGCCATAACTAAAAACCTCTCAAGAAATTAAGGAATTAGCTAAACAATCATGTTCACATATAAATGATAATTTAAAGTAAAAATTGTTTACACCATATACTTATAAAGAGAAATGTAAAACAAATCAATGTTATACCGAAGATCATTACCGATATATAAAGAAATACAAACCTATAACAGTAAAAAATGAAGGCATTAAAATAAGTTTCTGAACCTACCTTACGTTAATAAACAAACTACGAACATCAGGTGTTTAATTTTATATAATCTTACATCAAAAGCCAGCACACAGCATAGGTAGGGTTCTTGTGTGGGTTCCATGGGCGCTCTTAATATAGGTCTAATGGGGGTCAGATGACCCCCCCCCCACATCTTGGAGAAACTAAACCGTTAATTACTATTGAGGGAAATGAATTTAATTATCGCTAATGAAATTGAAAATCGTATTTGAATATATATTTTTAAATTTTTGAACTTATTTTTAAATGTAAAATAATTCAGCTAGGATTTTAAAATCAATTATCTAACAATCAGTGGCGGAACTAGAAAAAAAGGGCCACCCCGCAAAAAACTTTTTAGCCCCCCCCCCCTATATATATATTTATATATATAGGCCTATATATATATTTATATATATAGGCCTATATATATATATATATATATATATATATATATATATATATATATATATATATATATATATATATATATATTGGCCTATATATATATATATATATGGGCCTATATATGATATATATATATATATATATATATATATATATATATATATATATATATATATATATATATATATACAATCACAAAATACAAAAATAGGATACTCATCGCTGGCCTGTTCGGGATTTGAAAAACATAATTTAAAAAAAAAATTCAGCATCAGGTAATGTGTGTAAGTGCATAAAATCAATTTTAATTAATTTTTTATAGAAGCCCTCTTAAAATTTGGTCGGTCAAAATAATATAAAACATAAAAGCTTTGTATAAGTACTGGTGTCTCGTGTTATGTTTATTTTTATGCTTTTTTATTTATATCATTAATTTTTTAAATATTATTGATTTAATACATTTCCTTTTTATAGTATGTCATTCTTTAGTAATTACTTATAAGAAAATAATAATTAAGAGAAGTAATTGGTTTTTAATTTGTTTTATACAAATCTATTAAAAGGAGCTTATGATCACCTCTATTTGACTACTTTTAAAAAAAAGGGAAATAAGTCATGGAAGTGGTTTGAACATGTGCTTATGTTTGATAAGTTTAATTGTAGGAGAAAGACTCGGCTTTCACAGTGGTTTAAAAACAAAGGGAAAAAGAATATACAAGAGCGTGGGGTGGTGTCTATAGAATAAAGATAATCCAACCGCAGCTACGGTAACTTTTTACAAAACAACCATCAAGTTAAAAATAAAATAAAATTTACTTTTTTTTAAACTATACATTTTTTTGTTATTGTCGGCTCTGGGCCCCTAAATGGCCTTCCCCCCCCCCCCCCCCCCCCGCATTGCGGGGTCTGGCGGCACTATAGTTCCGCCCCTGCTAACAATCCAATACGTTACTGTGTTGTAAATAACAAGAGCATATTCACATAAAACACCAGAGTGCCGCCCATGTATGAGGTATACATAGAATAAGTGGGTGATTAATGACACCCTTTCTCCCACATGAAATCACATGACAACCATTCGGTATGCGGATTAAAAATATGAAACAGATACCCTATAGAAAGAGCGAAACGAACGATATCAAGTAGCTAACGGGGTTGTTTATGTATTTTCTGAACACAATCGAAACCTTGCTAGCCAAGGGGAGGTTACTCAAAGATCGAAGATTTGTTAACCAAGGGGAGATCATTCAAGGAGTGATTTGTACTGAACGCCAAGAGGAAACTTAAAACCAATCTATTTAGTGGGTTGGGGATTTGTAATATGCTTGCTGCAATAAATTACGGTGAACTGTTTATCGATATATTGAAGGGATTAAAAACGCTATGGCGACATGCCCTGGCTAATGACTGCTTGTTAATTGCGTGTGTAGGCGGTGGTATTGATTTTGTAGATACATACAATCATCCTTTTTCTCCGTTCTTGCCCAAGACAAATAAGGTAGAGGAAGTAGAGTTCATCTGTTTCAATGACCCCGGCATACACGGGCTTTGTGGTGTCAGTACTATTCAGTACTATGCCCCCGTCGCCTTTGTTTCCCTAACGTCTTACACACTCGAGCCCGGGATCCGAACTAGAGACTTTCAGGTTAGTAGTCTAGTGTTCTACCCCTAGGCCACACCCATTCTTACTATATACATACGCAGTCACTTTGCGCTTAATTAAAAAAGGTTTAGCATACGCAAGCCATATGCGTATCGATAATGCGCAATATTCTTGTACTCTACTTCCTCTACTTCTGTCCTTCAACATGCTTGAATGTTATTTTATTTCTATTAATTAAATCTTCTTTCTTCTTCTTCTTCGTTCTTAATTATTAGTGTTGAAGGGGATCGAGATTTATCTGCCAGTGGGTTTGAACTCGAGACTTTGTTCGAATTTATCAACCATGAGCTTTTTTTGCCGACTCGACCAGGCCTCCAACACAATTAAGCGTTACGTGTCAACTGGTTTTGCGCCATTGAGGCCATTGACTCCGATTTCAGCCTGCTTTTCTTTTTGGATTTGCTTCCATAGCCTTTGTCCAACCAAGAACAAACTACAAGGCAGCAGTTGTTTAATTTTGGAGTTGTCTCTCCTAGAAGAGTGGCTGTCCCCAGCTAACGAGCCTCATCTGCCCGAGGTATTAATTAAATGAAAATCACCTCTTGTTCTAGAGTAGAGAATTGATAGCCTTCACCACACACAAGGTTTGTTGATTGTTTAGGACATAGAAGGAACGGGGTGAGTAGAGGTTTGCAGAGATCCTATGTTTCCATACACTCGCTTCACATTTTGTTCTTTTGGGCCCTGGGTTTTCTACACACAGATACCTGTTTAGTTCAACAGTCTAAACCTATTTACCTATCCAATGGTTACTCTGTTGTTGCTTAGCGCATATTATATCAGCCTGAGACACTAACAGATTGTAGTGTACCAAACGTTAAGTGCTTATGTCTGTAAGTTAATACTTGCCTTTAGACTTTAAAACAATACTGAGTTTTCTAGACAGTACTTAGGAGTACACTTTAAGGTAGTTGGCCTACTTTCACGGACATATCAAGCAGAATAGCACCTTGTCATTGGAGATTAATGCCGCAGCTCATGTTTCGAGTTCATTCGATAAATCATCTCAACAATCCAGATTCGTGGGAAGTTTTATGGTGCACGACAAAATGTTGCTCGCTACAGTAGATCTTTAGCTAAAGCTAGACAAATTGTTGCTAACTACAGTAGATCTTTTGCTAAGGCAAGACAAAATGTTGCTCGCTACACTAGATCCTTAGCCACAGCAAGAAAAATTGCTATATCTTTACCAAATTACTGATTACAAAATCCTGTTTGATATACGAGAATGGAGCTTTACCAATCACTAATGTATAGAAATGTAATTTATATCAGGATTTTTTAATACGAAAAAAAATACACCAACTTTAAGATATGTTAGTGTTATTTTGTTTTTTAAATTTAACTCAAATGTAAATCAATATTTCATAGTCCAAGCTGCGTAAAATAAGTAAATGAAACCGATGGTTTTTGTTGAAATAAATTTTATTTCCTAACATGCATCAACAATGTAGCTTTTCAAAATTATTTTCTGTTTGTTTTTGGTACAGAAATAATAAATATCATCACATTCAAACTTCAAACTATCATACGGCTTTGAAAAATGTATTTTAATATTTTCCGGAGGTGTCGGAAGAGCCGTATGAAGTTGCGGCTGGACCACTTGGTGAGCCGTAGGATGGGCTGTTGGCGGCTGCAGATGAGCTGGATGGGGTGTAGCTGGTGCCGGAAACGGATCCGGAATTTGAGGCGGGGGCGGTGGCATACCCAGTTGCTGATGCGGTGCCATAGGTTGGCGCTGAGCCAGAGTTAGAGCCAGTAGAATCGTGGTTGGAGCCGGAAGCGGAGCCGTAGTTGGAAGATGACGACACTCCGGAGCTGGGGGCTGAAGCTGGGCCATAGTTTGATGAAGCTGGGCCATAGTTTGATGAAGCTGGGCCATAGCTAGAACCAGAAGATGAGGCATAGCTAGGGGCTGAAGCTTGGCCATAATTAGAACCGGATTGGCTATAATTAGAACCAGATTGGGCATAGATAGAGGCTGATTGGCCATAGTTGGAACCGGATGGGCCATAGTTAGAACCAGATTGGCCATAATTAGAACCAGACTGGCCATAATTAGAACCAGATTGGCCATAATTAGAACCAGATTGGCCATAGCTAGAACCTGATGGCCCGTATGAAGCCCCATAAAGTGAATTTGAAGTATAAGATGAAGATGAGCCGTACATGCTTTGACCTGAAAAAGAAAAAAAAATCAGTAGATATTTTCGCTGTTCATATAAACTGAGGTGCTTAAATTAGTAGATTCAATTCTGTGTGTGTTTCAGAAATATTTCCCGAATGGCACTTCTCCCCTCCCCCTCCCTCCCAAATCGGAAGAAGTATAAAATCTTTACTGAATTTTTAAATAGATCATATTTACTTTAACATTTGTCCAACCCCCTTACCCCGAAATTCCAAATGCCCTACGCCTTAGATTTCTCAAGGGGAAAATATCTGAGAGAAACCCTGATCACATTAATTATGAAAAAAAAGAGGCGCAATATACTATGTATATTAATATATAATTATTTTCTTATAATCATTCGACATTTAATTTTAAGTTTAGAACAAGAACAAAGACTAGGGCTAGAACTAGTGTCAGCATTTGGGAATGAAGTATAGTAATGTAATTTTTACAGAAACTACATGTGGGAAAATGGATAATCTTCTTCTTCTTCGTTCTTAATTTTTAGTGTTGGAAGGGATCGAGCCATATTTGCCAGAGGGTTCGAACTCGAGACTTTTTTTCGAATTCAACAATTTTTGTTTGCCTCCAACACAATTAAGTATACGTGTCAACTGGTTATGCGCCATTGATGCCATTGAATCCGATTTCAGCCTGCTTTTCTTTTTGGATTCGCTTCCATAGCCTTTGTCCAACCAAGAAAAAACTACAAGGCAGCAGTTGTTTGATTTTGGGGTTGTCTCTCCTAGAAGAATGGCTGTCCCCAGGTACGGGTTCGAACTCGAACACTTTTCGGTTTAGCAACCATGAGCTTTACCGACTCGACCAAGCAGAGTCCTAAATTGGCTAATAAAAGTACTGATTTATTTCGCGATACACTTTATGTATTTAAAAGGCACCGCAGGGCCAGTTTAGAGAAAACAGAGGTATGATTTCCAACCAATCAAAGTTTACCTTTAGGGGGGAGGACGGTGTACGGGGTCTCCATGCCGGCAGCCATGTGATCCATCACGTGACAGTGAATCAGCCAATGGCCGGGGTTGTCGGCGATGACCTCGACAGACTCGGCCATGCCGGGGAAGATTTGGGCCACGTCATCTCGGTGTTTCTCACTGGTGTGGATGAAGGTGTGTCCGTGGGTGTGCATGGTGTGCAGGTCAACCTGAGACAAGGTCAGTCTTATGTTAGGTCACGATGACATGTTGATGTTAAAACTGATTTTTCTAATCAGGTTAAGTACACAATTACCAAAAACACAGTCGTTCACGTTCTTGTCATTACTGTCATATGTCTTTATGATGTCAGTACTTAATTCACCATGTTATATCACTTAATGAAAACCCCATGTCACCATCAAACATATTAGCCCTTTTATAGTATCATCAAATATAACATATACTACTACCCCTATCACAAATCGTTATTGGCCGCTGAACCCACCACATTTTACACCACACTCTACCACACTGCACCACCAAGTACCACACGATTTTCATGGCAGACACAAATAACACATTTTACACCACACTTCACAAATGTCATGTCGCTCGTCACACTACAATATGTCATATGTCATTCATCTGTCTGTCTAATGTCATATGTTACCTATCGACCTAATGTCATATCTTATTCACCTCACCACAAAATGGCATCTGTCATTCACCTCAGCACCAAGTGTCAAATGCCACTCACCTCACCACAAAATGCCATATGCCATTCACCTCACCACCAAATGTCAAATGTCACCCACCTCAGCACCATATATAAAATGCCCCTCACCTGAGCACAAACAGTCAAATATTCCTCACCTCAGCACCAAATGTCAAATGCCACTCAGCCTAGACTAATGTCAAATGTCACTCATCTCAGCGCCAAATGTCAAATGTCACTCATCTCAGCACCAAAGGTCAAATGTCACTCACCTCACCACCGAGCGATATCATGTAAAACACAGCCTTGTCACCGTAGTTTATGATCAAATCGTTGGTGTTCCCGAATGAACGACCGTTGATGGAGTGCATCAGGTTACTCTCAACAAACCGTGGGTCGGCGCTGTCAAACAAAGGGTGAAAAAATGACATTTAATATGAACAGTAGTGGGCGGTGTGGTCCGCGGCTGGGGGGAGGGGGGGGGAGAGGTATAATTGCTAAATCTGAAAATCCCGAGTTTGGATGCCCCTGTAGACAAAGACTCGATAGCTGGGGACAGCAACCTAGGATAGTAGTCTAAAACTCAAACAACTACTGCCTAGAAAATTGGTCTTTGCTGGATAAAGGCTATGGAAGCAAACCCAAAAATAAAAGCAGGCTGAAATCGAAGTCAACGCCATATGATGGAGGAAATCGCCTCCAATATTAAAGACTGAAGAAGAAGACGAGTATCAATATTCTCAAATACTACACTTCAATTCGTGCCGCTAATCTAACTGCCCATTTTTACGGGGCTTTTGTTTAATGCAGGGTAGCGTCTAATAGCTGTGTGTTATTGTAGTATATTTTAAAAAGAATGCGTGTGTGTGTGTGAAAGGGGGGGGGGGTTACTTTTTATGAGAATAAGAGTCTAGTTCACTTTTCGGACCTGACGGTCCATGGGGCAAGTGAAGTAAAGACCACTAGTTTCTGTGACCTCGGAATATGAAGGGTTAGTGTGGTCAGCACTATACCCAGTCGTGAGTTAGGTACCCATCAGAGCTGGGTGGACTCAGGCACGTAATACTGACATGAAAAGGGATTCGAACTCGAGATTTTCGGGTGAGCAGTATAGTGCTCTACCGCTAGGTAAAAAATGATTAATCTTGACAAGAAATTTTACTCTTGTTTGTAGATATGAAACTAAAAGGTCAATTTGAGAGGTACAGGTAATTATAACATTACTGGTAATTAGCGAGCTAAAGTTCTTCGTCCAACTTACAGGTAGCTATACGAATTACAGGTAGTTATAAGACTTACAGGTAGTTATGAGACTTACAGGTAATTATAAGACTTACAAGTAGTTATAAGACTTACAGGTAGTTATAAGACTTACAGGTAGTTATAAAGCTAACAGGTAGTTAGACTTACAGGTAGTTAGACTTACAGGTAGTTAGACTTACAGGTACTTATGAGACAAAGGTAGCTATAAAAATTCAAGGTAGTTTTAAGACTTACAGGTAGTTATAAGACTTACAGGTAGTTATACGACTTACAGGTACTTATGAGATATAGGTAGTTACAAGACTTACAGGTAGTTGGTGCCAACTCTGCCTGGAGCGTACAGACGAACGTTCTCATCCAGGTACCAACTGAGGTTCTCATTGATGATAGACATGTAGACGTACAGCTCAGTGTTGACGTCCTTTCTCACGGAGTACTGGTCTAGGATACCAGACCTGCAACACAAATTAGGAAGTCAGTAACTTTGGCTTCTGAACTTCTAAGTCAGATTTCAATGTTAGGGCTGCCAGTGATGTTTCAGTTATAATTATTAAGTCAATGTTACACGTGAATGTTTAGAAACAGATAAATGTTACTCAGTCTGAATAATTGAGCATGACATTTATTAACTAAGATATCGAATTTTTCTTTTATACATTATTTATTTATAGAGTATTTTTTAAATGTTATTCTACTTCGTCCGTCCCATTGCGTAAACATGCCTAGCATTTTGAAGAAATATAAAAATAAAATATTTCAGAAGATATTAAAGTTAAAACTTGGCATAATAATAAAGCCTTTTATTTTTTCACTTTAATTAGGAAGCAAATGGATAGAAAAAATATCGAAAAATTTGCTTTAAATGTTTTTAGGCTTCTATCGATTAAAAAAAATGTATAGTCGGTAGAATAGATAAGGCTTGATCCCTTCCAACACTAAAAATTAAGAACAAAGAAGAAGAAGAAAGAAGGTAGAATAGAAAAAAAAACCACGGACGAGAATTTATTTAACCAAGGGCAGTAACTCACCTGCAAACAACGAGTGATCCTACCAGACCAGAGTTAGCGTCCCTGACGGTGTCCACGCCGGAGTAATAGACCCACGGGATACAGTTGGGGTCGTTGGGGCCGGGACCTGACCTCGCTGGGATCATCCAGGTGTAGGTGACGGTCTCACCTGGGCCGGCACTCACGGAGGAGCCGTAGTCACCGCCGTTTCCTTGTTCGCTAAAAGGTGAGGAGGAGGGGGGTGATAGTTAGTAGGAGGTGTATAATACATATCATGGTTACCAGTCAAAGGTGGATAAATTATAAGTTACAAGTCGACCCGCGGCGTATCACACGCCGCTGTTTAGTTTTATTTTCTACTTTTCAGTAATTCATAATTTGTGAATTCGACAGTACCAACGCTGCTACTGAACATATTTGCTTTAAAACACTATCAGTAGAACGTTAAGGACGATAACCCCCCTCCTTTCCCCAACCCCTACCTCCCCCCGCCCCGTGAAAGCAAACTCCTCTTAGTTACCTCCCCTAAGTTTAAAATCGTTTCAAACTAAATTATCTGCCCCTAATAGCCGTCACTAAACCCGGCTCTACGATTGTAAACATTTAGCGTGAACCACAGCTCACCAGACCATGTAGGGGTGGGGGTGGTAGGGAGCGCGCTTACAGCTTGGTGTTTTCTGCTGTCTCCAAGAAGAGAATTATATATATTTATTGGGTTGCGGCCCCTTCAGTGTTTATCTACTTATATCTAATGAAGTTACCAGCCCAAAAAGCAGGTAACTTCCGTACCTGGTCATGACACCGTGGCTGTGGATAGAGTATCGTCTGCTGGCCTTGTTGTAGAAGGTGATCTTGATGACGTCACCGACCTCGGCCTTCAGGGCGGGTCCGAGGATGTCGAACTTGCCAGGTTTCTTGACCTTGAACGTCTTGTCCGTGTACTCTCTGAACACGGCCTTTTTGTACACGTGACCGATGAAGTAGTTGTTGTGGAAGACGAAGATGTGACCCTCGCTGGAAGACAGAAGGAAAAATGTGGAATTATTTTTTTGCTAATTAGTTATGTAATTCATAAAAGCATGAGGAGCTCTGTTGTAAAAACCCATGTACAGACCCATGTATAGACCCATGTAAAGACCCATGTGTAAACCCATGTAAAAACCCATGTACAGACCCATGTATAGACCCATGTAAAGACCCATGTGTAAACCCATGTATATACCAATGTATAGACCCATGTAAAGACCCTTGTATAGACCCATGTATAGACCCATGTAAAGACCCATGTGTAAACCCATGTATAGACCCATGTAGAGACCCACGTATATACCAATGTATAGACCCATGTAAAGACCCTTGTATAGACCCATGTAAAGACCCATGTATAGACCCATGTATAGATCCATGTATAGATCCATGTATAGACCCATGTAAAGACCCATGTATAGACCCATGTATAGATCCATGTATAGACCCATTTAAAGACCCATGTATAGACCCATGTATAGATCCATGTATAGATCCATGTATAGACCCATGTAAAGACCCATGTATAGACCCATGTATAGATCCATGTATAGATCCATGTATAGATCCATGTATAGACCCATATAAAGACCCATGTATAGACCCATGTAAAGACCCATGTATAGACCCATGTATAGATCCATGTATAGATCCATGTATAGACCCATGTAAAGACCCATGTATAGACCCATGTATAGATCCATGTATAGATCCATGTATAGACCCATGTATAGACCCATATAAAGACCCATGTATAGACCAAAGTAAAGACCCATATATAGACCCATGTATAGACCCATGTATAGACCCATGTATAGACCCATGTATAGACCGATGTATAGACCCATGTATAGACCCATGTATAGACCCATGTATAGACCCATATAAAGACCTATGTGTAGACCTATGTATAGACCCATCTATAGACCCATGTATAGACCCATGTCTAGACCCATGTAAAGACCCATGTAAAGACCCATGTATAGACCCATGTATAGACCCATGTATGGAAAGACGTAATAGAATTACAAGTGACTTTGCTATCAACGCAAAGATAGTTCTCAAATATACTACAGATCTACATTTTTAACAATAATTATTACTATCGCTCACTCTCCCAAATAATACATAATAAATCATAATCGAAAAAAAAACACAAGAGCTGAAAGATCAATAACGAATTTGCCTGTAAACTACTAGGTCTAACTGTTTTCAAGCAAATTATCTAACATTTTTACTTAACATTAATCACCAAAATTTGAAAATTGAGGAATCAACATCAGAAATCCATCACAAATACAATCTAAACAAAATATTGTAAGCCATGATTTAACTAACTTTAAAATTTATCTCTCAAATCTATCGCAACAACATAAGACAAATTAGGAGAAAACCTAGTTATCCACACGTAGTACTCATCAACAAACTCACGTGCTGGGGTCATTAAGGTCAGCGCCATCTATCGGACTTCTGGTCAGGGGGGCGAAATCCCAGTACACTTCCTCAGCGGCGATGTAGTACTCCCGGACTTTTCCGTACGGAGCCGGATATTTGGCCAGTTTTCCGTTGCAGTCTGACACGGTGTAGAAGGCGTACATGCCGTTGTCTCGTGCGGTTGTTGACTGGGAGTACAACATCCATCTACCTGTGGAGGGAGATCACAAGATCACGAGTCAGGTCTGACTTGGTGTACTACGTGAATCTGTGTACATAGGCACCCGTATGTAGAGGAGGTGAAGGGGATTTGTGAAACGAATACTGATGTTTTCATTAGTGGTCTTATTAAATTTAGAAGAGCCGGACTTCTAACCCGTAAGTCTCGAATTCGAATCCGGGTCCAAGTCAGTAGACCGTCCCTGAGTCCACCCAACTCTGATGGGTACCTAACTCACGTTAGGGAAAGTAAAGGCGGCAGGGCATAGTGCTGACCACACTACGCCGAGGTCACAGAAACAAGTGAACTCTACTTCACTTGCCTTATAGACCGTCAGGTTTGAAAAGGGAACTTTTCTTTTTTTACTTATTAAATTAAATCATGTTATATTTAATTATTCATTGTTAAGATTTTTTCTGTGCGAATACAAAAAATATACCATCATTACGTGTTATAGTGTGTTGGTAACTTAGGTTTTTGAATACCGAAGTGTACCAAAGGGGGAAGGTGTGGCTTTAGCGGTATAGCGCTATACTGTTAACCCGAAAGTCTCGAGTTCGAATCAGTAGTACGTCCCTGAGTCCACCCAGCTCTGAAGGATACCGAAATCACGATAAGGAAAGTAAAGACAGCTGGACATAGTGCTGACCATACTATCCCGTCATATGCCGAGGTCACAGAAACAGGCCTCATGAACCTTCAGGTTCGAAAAGGGAACTTTACTAAGCGTACCAATGCCAATACATTGCTACTATGGATACCAAAATAATCATAACATCACTAAAACCTATATGCTGGATCTAGAATTATACTACTCATTTTATTGATTTGTGTTTGGTTGTATTAAATAAAATTATACAAAGATAAATAATATTACTTGTTACCGTCTCAAAATAAGTAATTTATTATATGTAGGTTTTAAATACGTAAAAAAACAACACAAAAAAACAACAAAAAACAAACAAACAAACAACAACATACATTCTAGTCATAAGAAGGATTCGAACCTGGGTTGTCGGGCTTCATGTAGAGTGAAGCAGTAGCTCCTGGAATGAGACCTTTAGAATCTCTGTTTGTTCCCTCCTCCTCAAAAGTGTTGCCGTCGAAGACGATGGTGTTGACGTCAAGGAAGGATCCGAGGTTCATGACGTACCAATTGACGTCATCGCCGACACACACTTTGACCTCTGGCATGTTGCCGTAGGAGTAGCCGTTGACAGCTGGTGAGGGGGTGAAAGGTCAGATAATGATTAGTTTGGACATTTGATCAGTAACAAGTTTAATTATACATTATTGATTGCTAAGAGAATTTAATACAATAGTAGTAGCATGATTTCTTGTATGTTTCAAAAGTTGTTTTTTTTTCTCCTTTAGTCATAGATATACCACAAATTATTACAGAAAAAAATTAACAACATGACTTCAGAAAAAAACAAGTTAATTAAAAAGTCTAGTGACAATTTTAGCGCAATTTCCTTATGTTATCTAAAAATAGCTCTGTCGTAGCGTAAATCAAGAGCAGGGTTAGTAAAACCATTGGTTAGTTATTAAAACGTTTTTTATTAAAATTTTTTTCAGTATTTTACATGTTTTATTTACAATAGAGTTTCATGACTAAAAACCATAGCGCGCCTAGCTACCGAACGTGATGACGCAGCCATTGAACGTGCTGGCGCAGCTATTGAACGTGATGACGCGTGTGGTGTGGTTGGATAAACTTGCCTACTAATTCGGTCCAAATTTTAATTAATTCAAAATTTTTTTTGTGACCGAACGAAAGGATATTTTTGAAAACTTTCTTCGGCAATATTGTTCTAAATTATGGCAGGAATCGATTGGTAAATGTTTCAGGTCGCTAAGTGGTCTGGTTGCCGAGATATGGGCCAAAAACAGCATTTTTCGAAGTTTTTTTGGCGTTTCCGGGAAATCCATGAAAGAAACCCGGAATTGTTTTGGCCTATGTTCATCCTCGTAACTTGCTTAACATAATTGCTTTTGGAACTAGTCCTCGACATTGCTTCGTTGAGGAGGAGATACGACTTAAAGCTGCGGACACACATCCATACATCCAGAAATGACGAGTTAATAAACGCAATTCTCCAGAATGGAAATTGCGCTAAAAACAGTTCACGGAAAGTATGCCAAGAAAGTCAGGAGTTAGGATCCCGGCTGAAGTCTATAGGCCGTTCTGAGTCCACCTAGCTTTGATCGGGACTTGATTCGTTCGTGTTAGGGGGACAGAGGTGGATGGGAATAGTGCTGACCACATAATCATTCCATGTCAAGGTAATTGAAACAGATAAACTATACTTCATCTGCCCCATGTGTCTTGGGCACGAACAGGAACATAAGATGATAATGTCAATAAAAAAAGATTTTTCTCAAATGAGATCGACGTTTCAATAGACACGTTTCGCTGTAAATGCTACTTATACTATATTCTTAAGACATTTCTAGCAATACTATGTATACTGCTCTAAACGGTATACATCTACAAGCTATACACTTACTGGCTCGCATGTTAGACAACATATAGGCGATCTTGTCATAGGGGTCAGGTCTGGGCAGTTTGTACAGGGATTTGTTTTCATCAAAGGTGGCAAGAAGAACAAAGTACTCCGATGACTTGTACTGGGAAAATATTCAGTCCACATTGGTAATAACGAAAAAACGATACCGTCTTGGAGGTGTGTTTTGGGTTAGCTATACCACAGTATTTAGTCACATAAAATATCTGGATTGGGTTAAAAAACACCAATAAACCTAACAGAAAATTGTATGACACGTTAAATTTAGTTCACTAGATCAAAACTGTAGGTTTTATACATTCTAATTGTACATCACTTAGAAGTTAGTTACTCTATTTTCTTCTTCTTATTTCTTCTTAATTCTAGTGTTGGGAGGGATTCCCTCCAACATAGTTAAGTATTACGTGTCAACATTTACTCAACAGTTTTACTTGTTCCTTAAATTTACTGTAAGCATTTTAAAAAATCGTTTTCAAGTATCGAATACTCTAAATCTAACAAGGAGAAGAAAGTATGAAAAGCTGGGTGTGTGGGAAAAAAGGAGAACTATTCAGACAACCTGGATATGCTACAAAACAACAGCATGGTACTGAACTCTAAACTTTCAGTTCGTAAACGAGAGCTCGCCAACTCGACCATGCTTTCCCAAAGTCTGGAAAAATTAGCACCGGTTAGTGTTTTTAAAAGAATACGGAATTATATATAGAAGAGGGCATGCACAACCTACCTGTTTGTCCAGGTAACCTTTCTGGCACACCAGGAGTGGTCCAACTAGGCCGGTGTTGTGGTCACTGATGACGTCATGAGATGAGGTGTACAGGAAGCTGATACAGGACTGTTTGTAACCTTCCAGCAGGTTGGAGGGCACGTCGAAGGTGTAGGTGTGGACCTGGTTGTAGCCGACTTTACCACCTGGTACACCTGGGCCGTCTGTATGATACAGGTGTGTACGTGTACAATTTTAGTACAAGACAGGTGTACGTGTACATTTTTGGTACAAGACAGGTGTGTACCTGTACAGTTTTGGTACAAGACAGGTATGTAAGTGCACTATCTTAGTGCAAAATATGGGTGTATACTGTGACATTTTTAGAGCAAGATAAAGGTGTTTACGTGTTCCCAATTTGCGCAAGATATGGACATATACCTGTACCTTTCTAGTGCAAGAAAAGTGCGTATGCTAGTACATTCTTAGGTGGTTGTGTACTTAATGTATCGTTTGTTTTCTTCGGACTGGAGGTTAGGGGAATGGATCTTTGATATGTCATTGATATGTCAATGCATTTAACATGATTTAGTCTGCTCATGGACATGATTTCAATCAAATTAAATTGACCTTTCAAGTGAACATAATCGTGCTCCGTCGTTACACACTGAAGTTAAATACTTACAAATGCATTATTTTATTTAACTCTTGAGCACAACCAGCTATATTAGTGCCCAGCCAGAGGCTGTGTGGGTTCGTGTGTTGTGATCGAACTCTACCTTGTTTGATTACCACAACTCACCCTTTGATTCCTCGGAGATGTCATATCTCATGCCGTGAGGCAGGAACGAAACCGGGTAGGGGATGTAATTTTTCAAGGTGACGACCAGCCTGTCCCCGACCTCCACCCTGAGGACTGGCCCCATGACGCCCAGGTATGACTCCTTGGCTGAGCGTGTGACTCTGGTCTTGAAGTAGGAGTCAGTGTACTGGACGAACTGGGCCTTCTTGTACACCCCACCAAAGCGGGTGGCGTTACGGACAAAGAACATGAAGGAGGAACTGCGGGGATTAAGATTAAGATTAAAGTTTAGATTATGTTGATTTTAGATGTAAATACGAGTATTTAGGAACTTTATTTTTCCAATTATTGAAAGACACAGAAGAATAAAACTAAGTGTTCTGAGAATTCAAGGTTTATTATTTGCAACATGTAAGGTGGATACTAGGCCCACATATTAATTAAAGTTAAGACACACGGAAGTTAAATCAATCACAAAAGAGCATTTTTAGTGCATTTGGTAATGTCGTTTAAATCCGAATTTTATTTTAATAGTGCAGTCCTTTTAATAATGGCAATATTTCATAGACCACGCTGGTTCATTTTTCTGAATGCTAGCAAACTCGTAAATTTAGATAGAAGTGTTAAATTGTGCTAAATTTCTGATGGTAATGCATATTATACATTTTCATGCATAAACTCAAATCACATAAACGAGATTGGTAATATATGTGCGTATAATATCGTTAAAGTAGAAATACTATCTTGTATTTATAAATCATAATATCTCTGTCAAATACAGGTTATATAAAATGCTGATTACCTACTGAAATAATGTGTAACGAATACGATTAACAACCAACGTTACCTTTAAGGTACACAACTTACCTTGACCTGTCAAGCAGAGGTAAGCCTGTTCTGGTATCATAACCTGTCGGTCCGTAGTTCCAGACTTTTTCTTCGGTCTGCAGGAAAAATTCCCTGGTTTTACCTGTGTAGCTGGGGTAGCTCTTGTAGTTTTTGTTGGGGCAGTTCTTCACGTTGTAGAAGGCAGCAATGCCCTCTAGAAACATATATTAAACTACTGCAGTTGTTGGAATACAAAGTATATACTAAGGGTCCACTGGTAATAGGCATTTTCTCATATAATGCCTTTAACAAAAAACTTAGATATATTTCTCTGTTTTCAATGCGCTTTGATAAAGTTCACACTTTGGACCTAACAATCCATAAGAAGATAAAGTCGAAATCATGGCCTAGACTTATGATGAGATAGCGTGTTCAGCAATATTACTTTACTTTCCCATTAAGGGTTAGGGTACCATCATTTCACCTTGATTACTGCATAATAATATTACCATATTAAGTAATAAATGCTATTTTTTAAATAAAACGTTCACAAGCAAAAACATTTCACAATTTGGAGTTAATAGGTACATAAGATTGAAACTTAATTGCCTACATGAAGTCGTCATAAGTAGATGTGTTACCTTTTTGGTGGTCGTCCACAAAGTCGACCAGCAACCATTTTCCTGGGTTGGTCGGGGTTGTCTCAGCGGCTACAAAGGTGGCGCTGTACACAGAGACGGTGTCGCCCCTGGAAAAATAACAGTACATACAAATACTTTCTGCTGATTGCAACATGAAGGGTTCACTAACCTTTTAATAATTGTTTTCCATTTCATATCTATTGTGAATGCATAACGCCAACAGCCTTATTAGAAAATCTATAACAAAACGCTAGCAAAGTCATGGAACCCAAACTGACCTCTTGCCCTCAAACTTGAGGTTCTGACCATGGAAATACATTGAGTGGACGTCCTTCTCGTTACCGAACCCAACGACGTAAAAAGCTATTTTGTCCCCAACACAAAACTGAAGGAGAACATTGTCTGTGTCAATAACATGTAACAATAGTCTACAAGAACAGTTAGAAAAAAGGTGGCGTCGTGGCGTAAGCGGTAGAACTCTAGGCTGCTACACCGAAAGTCTCGAGTACGAATCCTGGTTCAAGTCTGGGCAAAGTGCTTGATATACCGAGCGCATACATATAGCAAAAATAAATAATAGTATTTATTTTATGTATAGCATTTCAAATGATTCAACGATTACTTTTACTTAACAAACTAGATAACAAACTATTAAAAAAAGCTTCGTTTCTTATCATTCGGAAAATACGGTATAAATGTTTCAAATTGGCAAACAAAGACACGCAACACTATTAGGGTTAAGACGATTATTGATGCAAGGAAGGAATGTCATATAATACATAATATCAACAAATGTATAATTGTTTCTTTTGGTAATTCGTTTCATGTTAAATCACTTCCGAACTGTTCTTTTTAAACACATTAATGTTGGCAATCAAATTTTTATAATTATTAAATCTAAACAAAATAAATCTTACATCTAGTCCGTTCAAGGTACCAAATCCCCGGCCGTTTATTGACTTCATCAAATTACTCTCAATAAAATCTGGGTCGTTGACCTTCAGAAGGTAACGGCAGAGGTCAGGGTCGCCGCAGTAGAGGTCAATGTTCTCCAGGATGTAGTTGCTGAGGTTCTCGTCCCAGTTCATGACGACAAGAGGGATGTCGATGTCCACGTCAGTTCGACGGTTGGAGCTGTCCAGCACGCCTGGTGGATGGAATGTTTACCAGTTGTAAATGTCAACCATCAAGATATGTGTTCCTATAAGGTCTCTGTTACGTGATATTGTTTTAGACTTGTGTTTCTATTTTTGAGTTGTTTGTTTCAGAACACCAAGCTGATTGTGTTTCAGCTTTGTATTGGTTCGGATAGGGTTTCTGAATTGCATTGGTAAATATAATGTTTGTGTATTGTATTCTAATGGATACTGTTTCTCAATTGGTAATGATAATGTTTCTGTATTGGTAGGGATAGTATTTCTGTATTGGTAGGGATAGTATTTCTGGATTGGTAGGGATAGTATTTCTGGATTGGTAGAGATAGTATTTCTGGATTGGTAGGGATAGTATTTCTGGATTGTAATGGTATTGGATAGTGTTTCTGTATTGTATTGGTAAGGACAGTGTTTCTGTATTGGTAGGGATAGTGTTTCTGTATTGGAATGGATAGTGTTTCTGTATTGGTAGGGATAGTCTTTATTGGTATGGATAGTGTTACTGCATTGTTATGGATGGTGTTTCTGTATTGGTATGGATAGTGTTTCTGTATTGGTATGGATAGTGTTTCTGTATTGGAATGGATAGTGTTTCTGTATTGGAATGGATAGTGTTTCTGTATTGGTAGGGATAGTCTTTATTGTTATGGATAGTGTTTCTTTATTGTTATGGATAGTGTTTCTGTATTGGTATGGATAGTGTTTCTGTATTGGTAATTGGTATGGATAGTGTTTCTGTATTGGTATGGATAGTGTTTCTGTATTGGTATGGACAGTGTTTCTGTATTGGTAATTGGTATGGATAGTGTTTCTGTATTGGTATGGATAGTGTTTCTGTATTGGTATGGACAGTGTTTCTGTATTGGTAGGGATAGTGTTTCTGTATTCTATTGGCACGGATAGTGTTTCTGTATTCTATTCGCCTGGTATGGTATTCGTATGTACGATTTTTTTCTAATATAGGTTTCAGGAAACAGGCTTAGAATAGTCTTTATGGACAACTTAATAAAATTAAATTATAAAGAATGGCATGTGATCTCTATAATATCACATTAAAATCCAACGCAGGAATTTTACAAAATCTGAGCCAAGTTCAAACTGAAGATTAATTTGTACTTAAGACTTATATTCATAACCATTGGAAATTTTAAAAAAAAATTTTTCCTGTGAATTTATTTTATGTTGATCTTTCTTGCAGACAGTGATTATAAAAAAAATATACTAGAGTTACCTTTCTTAGACAACAATGACTAGAATACACGCCAGAGATCAGAGGCGCAGCGAGGGGGGGGGGGAACATATGTCCCCGGGCGCGGAAAAATGGGTTGAAAAAAAATTAAAAGCTCAATAATAATTTAGCTTCAGTTTTGCATTATAAATATAAAAAATATCTAGTGGGGAGGGGGTGGGGCGCCAATTTAAAAGTTTTTCCCGGAAAGGGGGAGCGCCAGATTGAAAGTTTGTCCCTGGTCGCCGGGAAGGGTCGCTACGCCTCTGCTAGAGATACCTTTTCTTGCTGACAGTTATGGTAAATGTTGAGTTACTTTTTTAGCAGAGAGCGATCATTAAATTAAACTAGAGTTACCTTTCTTGAAGATAGCAATAATTAAATTAAACTAGAGTTACCTTTCTTTCAGAAAGCGGTAATTAAATTAAACAAGAGTTACCTTTCTTGCAGACAGCGATAACACCAAATAGACCAGTAGGGATGTCGTTCTTGGAGAAAATGTGGGAGTGGTACACGAAGGGGATACAGTTGGGGTCCTCGGGGGTCGGGGCGTCGTTTTCAGTGATGACCCACTTTTGGAGGATGCGCTGACCAGGCATGACGTGGTCGTCTGCTTTCAAAATGCCACTGGTTTCATCCAGGTACAAAGCTCCTGTAAACAAACAACACAAACATAATATTTTGTTTTAAGAAGCATAATTGGTATGTAGGACTTTATATATATATATATATATATATATATATATATATATATATATATATATATATATATATATATATATATATACGTCCCATTATATTCCATATAGACAATATATATATACATATACATATATATATATATATATATATATATATATATATATATATATATATATATATATATATATATATATGTAGATAAGCAACTTTTTCTATAGTTTATACTAGCTAGAGAATAGTTGTTATGTTGTTTATACATAGAATTATCATTCATTCTATACCATATTAATAGCTTGTAAATTAATAAATAAACACGTCAAAACAAATTAGTTGTATATGACGAATTCAATTCCTCTAGTAATAACAGTTTTTTTTCCTTTTTGCGCGCATAATTTATAACCTCAGTCTGTAGTAAATACAAATATCACATTATTATTTTGTAGAGCAATTAAATGTATTTTGTCTAATCTTTTTTGTATATGTAACTAGGGGAAGTTACCAGAGACATAAGAACGCAGTACAGCGCTGTCAACTTTGACACGACTGATGTAATAACGCAGGTGTTGGCTGATAACGATCAGAAAGCCAAGGCGTAGTATCTTGGGAAGCGATACGATAAGAACGCAATACGGTCTGTCAACTTTGATGTGACAGGATGCAGATGGCTTATTAAATCGGACTGTACGACAGAAGCGGCGTAATTAACATTCTGATGCAACGATTAGAATCGATTACGATTACGATTATGATAGAACCGAATACGATTACGAATACGAAGGGGATATATAGGAAGGCGACGGCTGAGCTCGCTCTCTCTCTCTCGATCAGTCAGTCAGTGAGGCAGTATCAAGTTGGTTATTGAACGGGTTAGCCGTATTGTGTTAAGAAGGACGATAGACATGTGCATTCAGTTATGTGAAGACTAGTGAGGACTGTTGGGGGTCAGTTGATTCAGACTATTATTGTGAAGCATTTCTTTGATTCATGTAATAAAAGGATCAATAGCGAACCTGCATCTTCGAGTATCTATACTGTGGTCGATGTTGTGTAGAATGAGTGGTTAGACTCGGTAACATTTGGCGTTGTCGAGCAGAACTCGTTAACATTTGGCACTACAGGCAAATAGTCTCGTTACATTTGGCGCTGCGGACAGGATGAATTCAACTAGACTTGCCGCTTTAGGCACCCATAGTCAACCTTGTTCATAACTGTGTTTCGTGTGTGTGTGAATTCGAACATTCAGGAACAGTGAAAATTGAGGAACGAGGAAAATTTTTCATACACACACGGTAAGAAAGAACTCTTTTTTTTTACTCAAGGAATAAAATGTCTATTCTGGACGAGAAGCAGACCCATATTGTGGTCCTGCCCAGAGAGTCCCACATTAACAAATTTTACGGGGACGGTGATCCAGCTTTAACCAACAGGTTCAGTGAAGAGGTCAAAGCGGCCTGGGCCTCGAGACACATGTCACCAGAGGAAAGATTAAGACTGCTGATGGGCAGTATAGGAGAGACGGTTAGGGCAGAGGTCAAATGCCACGATAAAACCATCCAATCAGATCCAGATAAGGTGCTGGATCTAATTATGGAGACCTTTGGGGAGAGACGGTCGGGATCGCAACTGCTATCGGGGTTCGTAGGCTTAAAGCAGAGAATGGCGGAGAGTGTGATGGAGTATTCACATCGAATGAACAGGGCCTTTGATTCGGTAAAGGGCAAAACACCTGACATTGATGTACGCCTACTGAGGGACCATTTCATCGAGGGGCTAGCAACCCCGATCTTAAGGAGAGAGTTGAAAGAGGAGGTCCACAAAGACCCGCAGTTGACCTTCCTTCAGGTCAGGAACTCAGCGATCCGCAGGTCCGAGGATGAGGACCAATCGAACTGTTCGGTGGACAAAGTCTCTGTGCCGGAACAGAAACAATTCCCACCCACAGGGACCGGCACGATGGAAACCATGATGGCTCAACTGTTGGCCCACCTGGATAAGGTTGACCAACGATTGGAGAGGTTAGAAAGCAGGTCAACAGCTGAGAATCAGGAAAAGAACGGGACAAAACAGAGACAGGTTGGACGGCCGCGACCCGCCGGTCCATCGCTCCGGTGGACGGCTGACGGTCGACCAATTTGCTTGTCCTGTTCACAACCCGGACATATGGCACGGTACTGTCAGGGAAACGGTCGTCCTCTGTAAGGCAGGGCCAGGCTACAGAGGGGCGAGGTTATGGCCCAAGAAACAAAATGATGGGAGTCTGTCCCGAAATGGTGATTACGATTGGGGACATCGCGGTGAAGGCAATTGTGGATACAGGCTCCCAGGTGACGACAATTACGGAAAATTTTTACACCAAATGGATGAAAGGAAAAGACCATAGGTTGAGGTCTGACACATGCATGCGCCTGACGGCAGCTAATGGACTAACCATTCCATACTGTGGTTATTTTCTGGCGGATGTCGTGGTGGCGGGACATAGGTTGAAGCAGGTTGGGGTGTTCGTTACGAAACACAACCTAGAGACAAATGTGTCAAATATACCTTGCCTGTTGGGCATGAATATTCTTGGCCAGTTGCCAGAATTTCTTACAAATATTGTCGGATCGACCACACCAGGTCGGGGATCCAAGTTGGCCAGGTTTGCCAAGACCAGAGGAAGGATATCAGTCCCGGCAAACACGGTCAAGGCAATCACATTACAAATTGGTGATAGAAGCGTGAATGGTGATGTGATGATAGAACCATGTGGCGCCGCACTGAGGGCAGGCGTCGTGTTACTGCGGACATACACATCAGCGGAGAAGGGACTAGTTTAAGGATTAGTGGCAAATGTTTTGGATGAGGAAATTTTTATACCGCCTAATACTCTGGTAGGAGTACCACAGAACGTCGAGGTACTAAGGTCGGCACAGTGCATCGAACTGAGCAATACCAGCAGTAATGAAGTAACAATTAGGTCGGTCAATGTGACGGCCGAGGTGAAGAAAGAGGATGGCCGATCATATACATTCCCGGAAACTGAGGACCCAAAACTAAATGAATTGCTGAATAAGTACAGGGATATATTTGCCTCGTACGAGGGTGATTTGGGTTACACGGAAGTAATAAAACACCAGATACCCTTACTACAAGACAAGCCGGTGGCGCAACCTTATCGAAGATTACCACCAAGTCACTACTCGGCGGTGAAAGCACACCTGAACGATCTACTAAAAAAGGGAATTATTACAACCAGCACTAGCCCGTATGCGGCACCGATAGTAGTGGTAAAAAAGAAGTCAGGGGAGATAAGACTGTGTTGTGATTACCGGAAATTGAACAATATCACAAGAAGGGATGCATTCCCCTTGCCTCGTATTGATGAATGTCTTGATGCGTTGGGGGGAGCAAGATTTTTTTCTACCTTGGATTTGGCTAGCGGCTACCACCAAGTGGCCATGCACCCCAACGATCAACATAAGACTGCATTTATTTCTCCACTGGGACTGTACGAGTGGACCCGTATGCCGTTTGGTCTAACTAATGCGCCTGCTACATTCCAGCGAGTAATGCAGAGTGCTATGAGTGACTTTCTATTTCAAATAATGTTGGTGTACTTGGATGATATACTGGTTTACTCAAAAACTTGGGAGGACCATCTAAAAAGATTAGAACAAGTGTTTCTCCGTCTTAGAGACATAGGAGTAAAGCTGAACCCAGACAAATGCTGCTTCGGTCTGAAATCGGTACGTTTTTTGGGTTATGTGATTTCGTCGGATGGCATCGCCACTGACCCAGATAAAATTGCAGCTGTTAAATAATGGAAACAGCCAACAACTACAGTAGAGGTCAGATCATTCTTGGGCTTTGCTTCCTATTATAGAAAATTTGTACCTGGTTTTGCAAAAATTGCCGCACCGTTGCATGACTTGGTAAACAAAATGACAAAGAAACACAGTAAGGAGAAAAAGAAAGGTAAAACACAATTGATAGGTGAATTATGGACTGATGAATGCCTGAACTCGTTTAAGCTCTTGAAAAAGGCTTTGACAGAGACGCCGATATTAGGATACGCGGACTTTGACAAACCATTTCGGCTAGAAATTGACGCCAGCTCTAAAGGTCTGGGAGCTGTGCTATCACAACAACAAAAGCAAGGTTTCAGGGTTATTGCGTATGCCAGTCGAGCTCTGAAGGAATCAGAGAAGAACATGACAAATTACAGCGCCATGAAACTAGAACTTTTGACATTAAAATGGGCTGTGACTGAAAAATTCAGGGACTATCTATTAGGTGCTAAATGTGTGGTATACACTGACAATAACCCCTTGAGTCACCTAAAGACAGCAAAGTTGGGATCCATCGAACAGCGATGGGCAGCAGAATTGGCACTCTTTGACCTGGAGATAAAATATCGCCCGGGGCGGTCCAATGGCAATGCGGACGCTTTATCAAGGAATCCGTACGAGAGACCGGGCGATGAGGAAGAAACGCTGACAGGAATATGTGAGGTCAGAGCGTCAACAGATATCCCTCACGGGGTGCAAGTGATGCAAAACGGACAGACCGGGGTGGAGCACATATCCACAGAGCCCGGACATATGGACATTAGTGATTTTAATTGCCTTAATCACAAAGAGATAAGAGATGCCCAGAGAACGGATAGTGGCTTACAGCCGCTGTTGAAACACGTCCAGGAACAAAAATTCCCAGGAAGAAGGGAAAGAGAACAATTTGGTCGAGAAACAAAGAAAATACTGAGTCAGTGGGACCGTCTCAGTATAAAGGATGGGGTTCTCATGCGGAGAATTCATGACCAAATTGATGGGACTATACACCAGGTGGTGGTGCCTGGACAATTACGAGAAGAAGTGCTAAGGTTGGCACATGACAGGGCAGGACACCAGGGTCAGGACAGGACGCACAAAATATTACGACGGAGGTGTTACTGGCCCAATATGGAAATGGAGGTCAAACGCCATTGTGAGGCTTGTGTGAGGTGTCAGCATGCGAAAATGCCAGTTGTCAAAATGAGGCAGCCATCAGGACACCTACTAGCGACAAAACCACTAGAGATTGTGGCTATGGACTTTACGTCGTTGGAGCAATCATCGGATGGGACGGAACATGTGTTGGTAATGACTGATGTATTCACCAAATGGACTGTGGCGGTGCCCACACGAGATCAGACTGCCAAAACAGTGGCAAATGTCTTAATAGAACATTGGTTCATCAAATATGGCATACCAAGACAATTACACTCTGACCAAGGAAGGGCCTTTGAGTCAGAAGTAATTAACCAACTGTGCAGCCACTACGGGATCAACAAATCTAGAACAACCACATTTAATCCGAAAGGAAACGGACAGTGCGAGCGGTTCAACCGCAGCATGCATGATTTGTTACTGCGTACTCTAGAACCTGAACAGAAAAAAACGTTGGCCTGATTTTCTTCCAGAGTTGGTATATCTATACAACTGCACCCCCCATGCCACAACCGGCTTTTCGCCACACATGTTGCTGTTCGGACGGGAGGCTCGACTCCCTCTTGACTTGTTCCTAGGAAAAAAGGAGAGTATGACTGGCTCATACACTGCACTGGAATATGTGAATAAACATATGAGACGAATTAGAGAAATGTACAGGGTAGTACAGGAAAGACTAGAACATGAAGCACGGCGAAGGGAACCGCCGGTACAGACAAAGGACCCGCCACTCAAACTGAACGACAGGGTATTACTGCGTAGCCACCCGTTAGGCAGAAACAAAATCCACGACCTCTGGGGACAGGAGATATGGCAAGTCGTGGAGATGCCTAAAGTAGCAGGTGGCCCCTTTAAGATAAGACCCGTCGATCACGCCAAACCGGATCGGTGGGCGAATATTGCTCAATTAAAGAAATATTGTCATAGTCAAGAAGAGCAGTTACACACAAGGAAACCCAGGACAATTAGGGAACCGGAAACTATAACGGAAATTCACATACCCATCCCGGAACCATGTCACCATCAACGGAACAACAGCGATACACAAGTGGAGGATAACGGCAACGAAGAGGATCCCGTTCCTCCCAGAAGCAGAGAGACAGTAGACCATCAGATAAGTGGTCCGCGGAGAAGTTTGAGAAACAGAAAAATACGAAATTTTTTGTCAGCAACCATCAATTCTTTCATGGTCGCGCTGGTATGAGAACAGACTGTTCAAAAAGTCATAAAAGTGAACTGGTGAAGGCACCAAACGAAAAAAGGTGGATGTGAATTCTAGAACTGTTTTGTGTCTGAGGAAGATGATGTAGACACATTTGAGATGTGAAATAGGGATAACTGTCAATCTTATACGAATGTGACGACATTGACAGTGAGTGGAACAATACATTTTTTTTTACGGTGGTGCGATTGACTTTGAAGGATTGCACCTGCCAAGCGTTGTTTGTGGTTGATAACACACAAAAAAAGGCAGGGGTGGATGTAACTAGGGGAAGTTACCAGAGACATAAGAACGCAGTACAGCGCTGTCAACTTTGACACGACTGATGTAATAACGCAGGTGTTGGCTGATAACGATCAGAAAGCCAAGGCGTAGTATCTTGGGAAGCGATACGATAAGAACGCAATACGGTCTGTCAACTTTGATGTGACAGGATGCAGATGGCTTATTAAATCGGACTGTACGACAGAAGCGGCGTAATTAACATTCTGATGCAACGATTAGAATCGATTACGATTACGATTATGATAGAACCGAATACGATTACGAATACGAAGGGGATATATAGGAAGGCGACGGCTGAGCTCGCTCTCTCTCTCTCGATCAGTCAGTCAGTGAGGCAGTATCAAGTTGGTTATTGAACGGGTTAGCCGTATTGTGTTAAGAAGGACGATAGACATGTGCATTCAGTTATGTGAAGACTAGTGAGGACTGTTGGGGGTCAGTTGATTCAGACTATTATTGTGAAGCATTCCTTTTGATTCATTATATTATTGTGAAGCATTTCTTTGATTCATGTAATAAAAGGATCAATAGCGAACCTGCATCTTCGAGTATCTATACTGTGGTCGATGTTGTGTAGAATGAGTGGTTAGACTCGGTAACATTTGGCGTTGTCGAGCAGAACTCGTTAACATTTGGCACTACAGGCAAATAGTCTCGTTACATATATATAATACAATGTAAAGCTATTGTTTAGATTATCCAAGCCTTTAGGTAGCTACAAAAAAAATCTTGATTAATGTGAAAATTAAGCTACGGATTATGTTGTTTGACAATAGGGGAGATAATAAAAAAAAATCCAAGCCGAGCTACCTTCACTCCCCTTTAAGTAGAACAAGCCGTGGGGATGGGTGGAGAAGTTCCTGGAAGCGTTGTTGTAGAAGTGGAGGTTGATGATGTCGCCCACCTCAGCCCGGATGGTGGGACCCAGCAGCCCTTGGTACGGCGGCTTGATGACCTCTGTGGTGTACGTGTTGTCCGTGTACTCGTAGTAGATCGTCTTGTGGTACAAACGGCCGATACGGTCACGGCCGCTCCGTAGGTATCTGTCCGCGGTACTGTGAGGGGGGGGGGGGGGAGGGGGGGGAAGGGTAGGAAGATAACATTTTACTTTCAACATATCTAGAGTGAAGGGGGTCGGGTGGGGAGAGATAAAAGAAAATTTTGTTTTAAGTAATTTAATTCTTCGCGTCATATTGCTGTTGTGAACATTGGCAAGGTTAAAATAATGTGTAATAGGGCAGATGAAGTAGAGCCAGTTTTAATTTGCTGGAGCAAAATGGAGAAATTGTTCAGGCAGTTAATTCCTAGCATAATTTTTATACACCCCAATTTCCTCTGGGTGGTTATCAATGTGGACGGCATCGTCTAATGGTAGAGCGTTCAGCTGTTAGCCCGAAGGTCACGATTTCGGATCTCGGCATGAACTTGTGACCCCCCTCCCCCCTCAGCTCTGATGGGTACCTGACGTATGTTGGGGAAAGTAAAGGCAGCTGGGTGGATTGCTTAACACACCATCCCGTCAAACGCCTATGTCAAGAATCATATGAACTCTAATTCATCTGCCCAATTAATTGCTAGATCTAAAGAGGAACAGTTACTTAGCAGTGCTGAATTAACTCATTAACATCCTTGATCAAACCCTTTGATACTCGAACACCAGCCCTTCAAATTTTTGATCGCGCGAAATTCTATATAACCAATTAAAATATAAGTAAGTAATATTTACTTTAGTTATGATATTGATAATTAGCCTAACAGCTAACAAGAGGCGTAGCGACCCTTCCCGGCGCCCGTGGACAAACTTTCGATTTTCACCCCCTTCAAGATTTCGATTTGCACCCCCCCCCCCCTCAAGCTTTCAATTTATTTTTTCAACCCATTTTCGCGCCCTCTAAGGTCGGCGCCCGGGGACATGTGTCCCTCCCCACCGCCCTCCCCCTTGCTACGCCTCTGCAGCTAACCATAAATACATGCATTTTAACAACATCTAAAGCCCAAGAGGTTACCAAAAATAAAAAATGTAATCAAATTTTCGAAATAATTTTCTCAAACTTACGCCTGATCGTTGGGGTCTATAAGGTTCTTGCCACCCGGGGCGTAGTCCCAGATCACGTCTCTGGCAGCGATGAAATAGTTCCGGACGGTGGCGCTGGAGCCGACCGTCATGAGCAGGACGAGACCCGCCAGGCACGTCAGTGACGTCATCGTGAGACACACACTTCCTGTTTGAAAGAAATCAAATTTTAATCCACTGCAGTCAGACATTTTTTTTTGTGACTAGTACCTTGTTCTTTTTACATCAAATAATCAGCATTGCATATCTCTGGGTACTTTTTTTTAAAATAGCACTTTTTATATTAATGATATCACAGATTAAGAATAATTCTATTGAAATACTTTTCCTTCTAAATTAAATTAAACCAGATTTTTTTTTTTAAACATTTAGGTTTTTAAGTACATTTTTCTATATTGCAAACAGATTTTTTTAAAAATGTATTAAAGAGTTGTAAAAAAAAATTAAACCATATTATTAGTTAGACAAGTTTAAGGATTTTACTATTATAAATTCCAATTAGAAATGTTATTTATTGTAATCTAAAATATGTTTTAAAAGTGTTTAAGAAAAAAAAAATTAAATTTACTAGATTATATTTATTAATATTTTAATGAGTAAGATGGAATAACTGACATGATAAAATTAGTTTTGTTTTACTAATTTAACAGAAATATGTTTTAAATTATCAGAACAAAACATATAAATTATCAGTTTATTTAGCTAACAGAATAATATACAAATTACTTCCCTTTACATTTACTCTTTTACAGACCGTATATTACTCAGATTACCTACCTAATACACAATAAGTTAATTTAATTCCACCTCCAATGTTTTCTCGCCACTTCAGGTAGTGGCTATTCTAATTGCCCAGCAATGACGAAATGTCCGATAACGCACCTGAGCTTTTATACCTTCAGTGTATGGTATTCAATAAAAGTATGGAAAAAAAAATCTAAAAACCCTTGACAAAGAAAAATTAATTTTTTACAACATAAATTTTAACGCGGATGAGATAAAAATCAAAAGGATTAATATTCAATGATTCTGTCATTTTAGTTATAAAACTTCGAGTAATAATTAATGTACAAGTCTCTCGCTAAGGCTTGATGAATTATCGAAGGGATTTATCGGATGAACGAAAAGAGGAATTTTTAGATTTTTAGTCTCTAAAAGTCATTTAATATGAGAAAACGTGTCTTTTCCTAATTTTTTTTTTTTTTGCTTTACTTAATTTTTTTTGTAGGTCATCGCTTGGTTAGGTTTGTAGTACATACAGTGTTTCTTCTATACTTTTTTCTCCGGGGGGGGGGGGTGGTGACTTGAAATTTTCGTGGGGGGGGGGGGGGCTGTAGACTTTCTTCGGGGGGGGGGGGCGGGGCGGACACTGTTAAAAGTGTATATTTTCTATATAAATTTGATTTCGTTCGGGGAGCGGTAGACTTTCTCCCCCCCCCCCCAAAGAGATGCCTGGATGTAACTCTGAGTATATAGTAGTAGTGATTAGTGTGTTGTATATTCTGCATCAAAACATGAGGTGGTGGCGACGTGGTCGGGCAAGAGAACGCGTGATCTCTAATTCCAAAAGTCCCGAGTTCAAACCCCCAGACAGGTGAGGCTCGATAGCTGGGGACAGCAACTCATCAAGTAGAGAAAACTCCTAATCCTAAATAAAAAATCTCCTAACTTGAAGTTTGTTCTTGAATGGACAAAGGACATGAAAGCAGTGGCATAGCGAGTACGGGTGTCACCCGGTGCGGTACTTAATGGTGTCACCCCCCCAGAGGCGTAGCGATACTTCCCGGGGACAAACTTTCAATTTTTGATTTGCTACCCCCCCCCCCCTCAAACTTTCGATTTGCACCTCTTAAAAGACTATTTAATACTCAAATTAATCACATAATTAAGTGGGGTTATCATTTTTCTCTATATATTTTGCTATTTTTTGCCTTGGTGTCACCCCCCTAAATGGTGACATCCCGGTGCGATCCGCACCCCCCCCCCCCTAGCTACGCCTCTGCATGGAAGCAAATCCTAAAAGAACTGCTGACTGAAGTCACATTAAATATAAAATGACACGTAATACGGAACTGTGGTGGAGGGAATCTCTTTCAATTATATAATTAAAAACAGAAGAAAATTTGATAATAAGTGTTTAGAGAACAAGGGTTCGAATCCCGGTTAGAAAATTAGTGTTGTCGAGGAATTGAGACACCCCTGTGCATATATCCACAATATGTGTGGATATATCCACACATATTGTGGATATATCCACACATATTGTGGATATATTTGAAGAGATTCCATGTTTTCTACTTCTCTTTTTATTTTCGCATTGGAAATACGCAATAAGCATAACCCCTAATGAAGTTACTAGGAAGAAATCCAACTCTAACTTTAGCGTTTATTTGGGGATGTGGTTGGACCATTGCAATAAAGTTTGTGTTTGGGGGGGGGGGGGGAGAAGATGAGCAAGTTGAGCCTTATTAGAAGCTGGAGTCGTGGTTTGCATCACGTGCATTTTTCAGGTATCAAACTAGCAACACCAGTTTACTAATATCTTATTTTAGAAATGAAATCGCTCGATAAAAAGACTCCAAATTTAAAGTTTTTTTTTTTTAAATCACGGTTAAAATAAGAAGAACTAATTGACGTCACACTCGACTAACTCGGGAATTCCCCGAGACAGACGGTCGAGACAAGTGCAAAATTACCCGTGAACCGTGTGCAACAAGGCCTGCACTTTTAACGCTTATCTAGATGTAGGATGTATTGTCCCTTGACACACAAAGTAGAATTTTAACATCAATCACTGATGTTTAACCTAATAACTGACGCAGGTGAGAGAAAATACATTTCTTTTTTATGCACGGACTAGAGTTAAAATCTAAAGGACCTAAATCATTATCGTGCAATGAAATTATTTATTACCTAACCTACAAATAGTATTTTACGAATATATATATATATATATATATATATATATATATATATATATATATATATATATATATATATATATATATATATATATTTCTTTATATATATATATATATATATATATATATATATATATATATATATATATATATATATATATATATATATGTATATATATATATATATATATATATATATATATATATATATATATATATATATATATATATATATATATATATATATATATATATATATATGTATATATATATATAAGAGATCAATAAAACAAAGATAATTCATACACAAAACTGTGCAAAAGATGGGAGTGTCTCAGTAAAAAGAGACTAATTAGGATAACATACATGCATAGGAATAATGATAGGTAGAAACATGATTCAGATTATCGGAAGAGAGAGGTAATATTATAGAATAAAAGAACGAAAAAGTCAACGAGAACATGAGGCGAGAGATGGATAATGATTAATCAACGGATTATCGTGTGTTATTATTGGATTATAGCTTAAAAAATGGAAAACGGTTTTGCCCAATCAGGTTAAGGGATGATAAATGTGTTTTGTATGCTCAGGATACTGGGAAAAGGCAGAGGTTTTCGTGTAACCTTTTTGTCACAAAAAATTAGTTCAGTGGGTTCGACAAAAATTGTATCTTCGTAGAATTAGTAGCTGTAATTCTCTGCGATGCGGTGTCTTTTTAAGAGTCAGCCGGATGGTGTGGGCTTTGAGACCCCTGCTGTGAGACAACTACTATCAGAAGAGACAACGACATATTTTATACGGTTAAGGCTAATTAAGAAAAACAAATGTAGAAGCATGTCGCCCAAAATAACAAATACCAATCACCAAATTAACATCAACCATTATAATCTTACCGCAACCCGAAAAAAAGCATATTTCTAATGAAAGAAGTTATTCTTAGATATTTCTTATCTCGAAAATACAAAACTATGCTAAGTAGTATTTTTTTAAAACTCCCTTCTTTAACTGCTAAACCCTCAATGAGAAAGCCCTCTCCCCACGAGTAGTGTGACGTCATTCAAGATGGACGCCACAGTCAAGCTACTTCTCAAGTCACGAAGTCTCGTGTGATGAGAGTTGATGTGCAGCGAACCGTAAAACACCAAGGTACAATCCAGGTATTGTAAGCGGCCCGGAAACACCTGGGGCGAAAGTTGGTTTGGTTTTGTTTATGGGATAGGTCCGTCCCTTTTCGGGGTCGTAAAGGTGTTAGCAAGGTGCGTCCGTTTTTGAGACTGTAAAACCGCGTCAGCCTAATTCATGGACGAGTGAGATGATTTTAGGTCTAGACCTTGGTCCATAACAGGGTCAGCGTTTGGCGTCTACCTCTGAGATGTGACCTCTGTGTGTTTGACATCGATCTGCCTCCTTCCCTCCTTCGCTCCCTCCCTCTCTCGCTCCCTCCCCTTCTTCCATCCCTTTCTCAAAACGTTATGGTGTTAAAAGTCTATATTTTAGATATGACGTTAAGATTTTTTACATTGCTCTGTCTCTTTCTCTCCCCGTCTCGCTCTCTCTCTATATATCTCTCTCTGTCTATTTCTGTCTCTCTCTGTCTCTCAGAAAATAGAACGCCAAGGAGTTAGACGTCTGTTTTTCATATATGACGTCAAGATTTTCGATATCACTTCTCCCCCACCCCCCTCTCAGAAGACAAAACGTCCTGGCGTTAAACGTCTATAATTTACATTTGACGTCAAGATTCTTGACCTCGCTCTCTCTTTATCTCTCTCTCTTTATCTCTCTCTCTCTCTTTATCTCTCTCTCTTTATCTCTCTGTATCTCTCTTTATCTCTCTTTATCTCTCTTTATCTCGCTTTATCTCTCTTTAACTCTCTTCCAGTAGTCAAAACTCCCATGTGTTTGACGTCACTAGATGACGTCACGATTTAGACCATTTCACAGACGCCATCTTGTTTCCGGACTGTTACGTTTCAACACAGTGGTCGATAAAGGCTACACATTAGACGGACACACTAGGCCCCTCGTGACTTCACACCTGAGATCACACACCTGGGGTTACACACCAGAAGCAACACATTCGTAAAATATAAGCCTCGAGGCCCCTACAGGGAACGGGACCTAAGGAAGCGGTCACGTTTGATCTCCCAATATTTATTTTTAGAAAATCGCTGTTGTTTCATTACTGTTTTAACATCAATTTTTTTCCACACCAATAGATGAAAAAAAGAAGAAAAAAGCAAATTCACAATATATTTTGCTGAAAGATATACGACCCACTTAAGCGGTAAAATGACAAACAACCAAGACATATGTCCCATAAAGGAATTATACTTTTAATTTGTATAAAATAAACTAACCCAATTGCTTTTCAATAACATAATTTTAATAACAAATTAAAAAAAAATAACTTTTCAGCTCTGCGCTTTGTCTCTAGGTTTGACAGAAGTTGCTTTTTCTTTTGCAGTTAAAAAATATTCTTGAACTTGAGAGGTCTGTTAAAAAAATGTTGGTTGCGGAGGGGGGGGGGGGGGGGAGGGGGAGGAAAGGGGAAATGGAGTATGAAGATACTGAATTTTGTGACCATGTGCTATTTGCTGAAGATAATAATGATGAAAAGTATTTTAAATATAATTCGAGTTACAATTTTAAAAATAGCGACGCAGTAGATGGGTGTGGGATAACGCGAAACTGTATATAATATTAGACGGGTGTATATATATATATATATATATATATATATATATATATATATATATATATATATATATATATATATATATATATATATATATATATATATATATATATATATATATACTTTGTTTCTTGGAGGGGGGGGGGGTGACACCATGAAGTGCCGCACCAGGTGACACCCGACCTAGCGACGCCACTTGGTGGGAGTGGTACTAATCTGTTAAAATTGTAAAGTTGTGTGAAATGAAACATCATATTTGAACGATTACAATATTAAACATGTGAACGTTTCTGATACCGGTAAATGCATTTAATATTTTTAAAAAATACATATTTAAGGAACATTTAGCAACGACCCTTAGAGGCGAACCAGCAAGCCTGTTTTAAAGGATGGACTTGACAGCGGTCCTTGTGTTGAGTTAGTGGAATGCTGAACTCTGATTATCCTGACTTGAAGGCAGATCCATAGAGCGAGTTGGATGTGTAGGATGTTCCACTATACTTGTTTTTCTGACCTGAAAGTGAACAAAAAAGTTGATTCGGAATTCAGAAATAAAACAATAAATAAATGAAATGAAATCTGTATTTGACAAAATCTGTCTGAAAACATTTATTGGCTTGGTGGAACATACAATTTATGTCCGTGTTAGAAAGGTAGGAAGTATCGGGAAAGTATCATGGAAAGCTTAACGTATGAATAAGTCCACAATGTAAGAATAGGAAACGGAAGGCTACTGACTATTTAATAAGAGATCTTTTGAAATGGAGCTATGAAGCTATGAAGCCGAAGTGATTGGGCTGGAAGTGAAGAATGTATCTCCGTTTTCTAATTAAACTATAGTCTTTGTTCTATCACATGCTCTCTTTTATCTGTTTCAATGACCTCGGTATACAAGGGGATAGTGTGGTTAACAGTCTCCTGAATTTTCGTAATGCTGGGTGGACTCAGGGACATCGTACATACTTGAGTTCTGGATCCGAACTCGTGACTTTCAGGTTAGCAGGCGTGTGCTCTACCAACAGACCCAGACTCGTTCTATATTGCCGAGAAATTTTAAAGGAAGAAGAAAATAGAACGACGTCAGTAAAACAGTTACCTGGAGGGGGGAGGACGGTGTACGGGGTCTCCATGCCGGCAGCCATGTGATCCATCACGTGACAGTGGATCAGCCAATGGCCGGGGTTGTCCGCGATGACCTCGACAGACTCGGCCATGCCGGGGAAGATTTGGGCCACGTCATCTCGGTGTTTCTCACTGGTGTGGACGAAGGTGTGTCCGTGGGTGTGCATGGTGTGCAGGTCAAGCTACGGACACACAACACACACCAATGTCATAAAGCTTATCAATTTTAAATTTTTATCCATTAAAATTTTTGTAACTACAGGTAAAAATGTAAACATAGTCAGAACCAAAATGTCAAAATAATTATACGACAACTCAATTAAGTATTTAAATAGGGCTGGTAAGTAGGTCACCAAACCAGTTCTATGGCTCATGCAGGTTTATTGAGCCGTAGAACTGGTTGGTGACCTACTTACCAGCCCTATTGTTCTTCTGGATTCTAAATTTTATATTGCGATTTTTCAGAAATGACATATAACAGATATTCATAATATTTCATACATATATCTGAAAAAATAATTCGCGTCAGCTAAAGTTTTATTAACTCATCAGCATATAACATAAAAGCTCACACAAAACATTTTAACATTTTGACTCACACTACCATCAAATGTCGTATCACAAGCCCTAAACATCAACATTCATCAACACATACCCCCTACACCAAATGTGACCTATAACTTACCTCACCATCAATGTCACATGTCACTCACCTCAGCACCAAGTGACAGCATGTAAAACGCCACCTTGTCCCCGTAGCTCACCACCAAGTTGTTGGTGTTCCCGAAGACTTTACCGTTGATGGCGTGCATCTTGTTGCTTTCAACAAAATTAGGATCAGCTCTAAAATAGAAGGAATAACAGTTCAATACCAGCACTAAGTCTAGGATATATTAAGTGCTAAGTTTTGGCGAAAGATGGTGTGTGTGTGTGTGTGTGAGGGGAGCATTGGGGTTACAGCTTTTTATATTAAGGATCAGAGGAGGGACTAAAATAATTAGAAATCGGACCCACCCACCCAATGAACCCAACCACACACCCAATGGACCCACCCACCCACTCAATGAACCCACCCACCCAACCACCCACCCAATGAACCCAACCACCCAATAAACACACACTCAATGGCTCAACCCACCCACCCAACCACACATCCACCCACCAACCCACCCAATGGACCCACCCACCCACCCAATAGACCCACCCACCCAATAGACCATCAACCCATCCAATGGACCCACCCACCCACCCACCCACCCACCCACCCAATGAACCCAACCACCCAATAAACACACACTAAATGGCTCAACCCACCCTAAGGACAAACACATCCAATGGACTCACCTACCCAATGGAAACACCCACCCATTGGCCCCACCACCCATTGGCCCCACCACCCAATCAGTGTTTCTTCCAGACTTTTTTCTCCGGGGGGGCACTTGAAATTTTCGGGGGGGGGGGGGGGGGGGCGGTAAACTTTCTTCGGGGGGGGGGGGGGGGGGGGGCGGACACTGTTAAAAGTATATATTTTCTATATAAATTATATACATTTCATTTCGTTCAAGGGGGGGGGGGGGCGGTAAAAAAATTTCGGGGGGGCATCGACCCCCCCGAAGAGATGCCTGGAAGAAACTCTGCACCCAATGAACCCACCCAACCAATGCGCCAACTTAGATCCATTTATGCAGGTTGGCCGAAATTTCCAAGGTTCCTAAATGTATAACCATAGCTGCAATTAATATATCATCCTTATTTCTTCAATGACTAATTTAGTAAATTATATTTCTATATAGCATTGATTCTTGTTCAACCGAAATCATGTAGCAATAAAGCCGATAATACATTCGGTACAAGGTCTAGTTTCAGAAAAGTAGAGCAACGATACAATCACTAATTTATTTGATCCCTTTCCAACCTTTACGTGACGATTCGTTATACGACAGGCTGTGGCTAGTTTCTTAAGATACCAAGATATCATCAGGGAAACTGAGCGTAAGTGTCACCCTGGACGAGACGTAGATATTAAAATTGACACCTTTATGGCTCTGGGGATTAATCACGTAGCTCAGGTAGATTTAAAGGTAAAATAGTCTGTGAAATGTGAAGCGGACCAATGTATTGTTTCAAACTTTGTTAAAAAAACTCACAAGTTTAAATTGATGATTTTTTTTTTAAATTTACATGTGGTAGTTAAACAATATGTGGGTGTGATTGCCTTTTGAGTAGATTTTCTATCTTCGTGTGACCGCTAGACCTGCAGGTAATTACTCACCTTAAGGTAATTAGTAAATTAGACGCACAAATGCTATTTTTAAACTTTAAGTCAACTTTAAACATTTAGGTTTTTAACCACATCATTAGTTTTGTAAATATGCAGGTGATTATGACAAGTACAACTAAGTGTAAAACTTACATGTAATTATAAATATAAGACAAAGGTGATTATATCACAATAGATGTCGCTGTGAATTATAAAGACATTCAGGTCGTTATAAGTATTACAGGTAGTTTTAAGACTTACATGTCGTTCAATACATACAGGTAGTTATAAACAGGTAGTTAGACTTACAGGTAGTTAGACTTACAGGTAGTTAGACTTACAGGTAGTTAGACTTACAGGTAGATAGACTACAGGTAGTTATGAGAGACAGATAGTTATGAAGTTCAAAGTTAGGCTTACAAGTAATTAAGAGACATAAAGTTAGCTACGAAACTTATATGTAGGTTTGAGACTTACGTGTAGTTATGATACACATATGTAGTGATGAGAATTTCAGGTAGTTATAAGACAGGTGATTGTTAGACACAGGTTGTTGGGAGACTTACAGGTAGTTATGAGATATAGGTAGTTATACGACTCACGGTTAGTTATAAGACATACAGGTAGTTACGAGAGTTACATGTAGTTATGAAACACATTTGTAGTTATGAGAATTTCAGATAGTTATAAGACTTACGTGTATTTATAAAGCACATAGTTCGTAACGAGACTTACAGGTAGTTATAAAGCTCGAAGGTAATTACGGTACTTACAGGTAGTTGGTGCCAACCCTGCCTGGAGCGTACAGACGAACGTTCTCATCCAGGTACCAGCTGAGGTTCTCATTGATGATAGACATGTAGACGTACAGCTCCGTGTTGACGTCCTTTCTCACGGAGTACTGGTCCAGGATGCCAGATCTGCAACGTACGGACTGACGTCAACAGAGGGGTGCAAGGTCAAGGTCATTGAACGTCACTGTCCAGGTCACCGCCTGTCATCATGTCATCAACTATCCAAGGTTCTGAGCTCGAGGTCGCAAAAGATTTGATTGTCAACTTAGAACATTTTAAGATGTTAGTTCCTGATCTTGTTTAATGTGTAATTAATTAATCAATTAAAACGTTAACGAGAACGATTATATGAGAACACCAAGATAGAGGCCTTGCTATATCCATCCCGGCACCCTTGTCAAACTATCAGTTTTGCGCCACTCCCCCCACATCACAAGTTATGTATTGTTGTTCGCGTTGCTGATAAAGTGTGTAAACCCTTCCCTCCCATTTTGAAAATTTGGGTCAATTTTTAGCGGACACTGTTTTATGCCATTTTTTTGTGATGTCACACAATTCATTAAGAAACAGTTAAATCAGTGTACAAAAATCAAGATGCAGTCTATTTTCTTAAAACTTTGACTGTGTATCATTAAGAAAAGAAACTCAGATTAAAATTTTAAAATTTCTTTCTAAATCGACCCGTCCGCCCTTCCCTAGCTATGCCACTACGCCACGATTAACACCATGTGTCTTTAAGAAACGTATAAATAAATAATATATATATATATATATATATATATATATATATATATATATATATATATATATATATATGAAATATATGTAGGCCTATGTAGCCTTACATTAAATGTATGCACATATAATGTGTAACGAGACGAAATTGAAAAAACAAAAATGAGATCAGTAACTTACTTGCACACAACCAGGGATCCGACCAGACCCGAGTTAGCGTCCTTGACGGTGTCCACGCCGGAGTAATAGACCCACGGGATACAGTTGGGGTCGTTGGGGCCGGGACCTGACCTCGCTGGGATCATCCAGGTGTAGGTGACGGTCTCACCTGGGCCGGCACTCACGGAGGAGCCGTAGTCACCACCGTTGTCTTTTTGACTACATCCAGGTAAAATAAGGGAGATAATTTTTTTTATTTGCTGTAGGGGAGATATCACAAATGTTGAAAAACGGGAGATATTTTCATTTTCTAAAGCAGTGCCATCATAAAGGGTTAAAATAAGGGAGAATTTTTTTTTGTAATTTACTTAACGGTACCATCGCAAACGTTAACATAAGGGAGATAATATTTGAATATTATGTAGCGGGCCATATGAAAAGTCGAAATAAGGGAGGTAATAATTTCATTTACAGTAGCTGTGTCACCATAAAGGTCGAAATAAGGGAGATAATATTCTAAACACTTTGTCGTTTTGAAAACATTTTTTTTTGTCATTGTATCCTTTATTTGAAGTGTAATGAACTTTAAAAGAAAAATAAACTTTAGATTTTAAAAATGTATTCATAGGTCAATAAATTTTGGCTCTTCTGTTTCTTGAATAGAAAAATTCTAAAGAATTTCCTTTCTTTGACTGTAAAAAAGCCGTCTTTACTTTTTCCAAGTATGTTTAGGTACTGGATGTATATTAAAGCGGGATGGAAAATTATTAAGGTTTTTAACCGGGGTAACATAATAGGGACGGTAATCGTGTGTTCTACCGCTGGACAACGCTTTCTTAAGAACTGTTTACGTCACAAAGACCGGGTTAGTCCCGTACCTGGTCATGACACCGTGGCTGTGGATAGAGTATCGTCTGCTGGCCTTGTTGTAGAAGGTGATCTTGATGACGTCACCGACCTCGGCCTTCAGGGCGGTTCCGAGAATGTCGAACCTGCCAGGTTTCTTGACCTTGAACGTCTTGTCCGTGTACTCTCTGAACACGGCCTTCTTGTACACGTGACCGATGAAGTAGTTGTTGTGGAAGACGAAGATGTGTCCCTCCCTGGAAGAGAAGAAACCCGAATTGTATCCACGAAATCACGGAAAGTTCCCTTGCTTTGAGGTAAAATCTATAAAAACTTTGACTTGTTTTGCAAAAAAAAAAAAAAAAAAAAAAAAAAAAAAAAAAAAAAAAAGAAATTACCATTATTCATTACATAAGCCGCACGAAAAGAATAATTTGTGAATCGCACGCAGTAGAAATAAAAAAAAAACTCACGTGCTTGGGTCATTAAGGTCAGCGCCATTTATCACACTTCTCATTAAGGGAGAGTAATCCCAGTACACTTCCTCAGCGGCGATGTAGTACTCCCGGACTTTTCCGTACGGAGCCGGATATTTGGCGATTTGTCCGTCACAGTCGAGTGCCGTGTAGAAGGCGAACATGCCGTTGTCTCGTGCGGTTGTTGTTTGTGAGTACAGCATCCATCTGCCTATTGATTAGACCATGCTAATTAAACAAGTTTCATACATATTATATGGCCCCATAGTCTAATAGACCATTGGATTCTTCCGCATTGGAAATCCAAGCACAAAGCCGGGGCTATAAGTAGAGAAGAGCCATGTATAAAAACCCCCTTCTCCATACAGCTGATGGAGCCAAGGGACAGGACGTACTGCATGTAATCAGCAATGTAGAATTAAATTATTTCCCTTTACACATACAATTACATATAGTGTTTGAGTTTTATATTTATAAGTATATGCAAATACATTGAGATTTATACATATTAATGCAAATTATTAAATGCAAATTATTTCAGTTTTACTCGCAAAACTACGCGCCAAGTAATAAAGATATTCATATATAATTATAATCTAATGTTTTTAGTCCTTTGCTAATTTATCAAGCATGAAACATATAATGTATTGATAATTGATAAACCTGAAAATATAGGTACTTAAGTATGTTTCTTTAAAGGAAAATGGTTTCCAAATTGTGAATGTGATCCTAGTTTAAAAAATAAAGTTGTTCTTTTAAAACTGGTTGATCAATATACAAACTGGCACCAAAAGGATACGAACCTGGATTGTCTGGCTTCATGTAGAGTGAAGCAGTAACCCCGGCGATTAGACCTTTAGCGTCTCTATGAGTCCCCTCCTCATCAAAGGTGTTGCCGTCGAAGACGATGGTGTTGACGTCAAGGAAGGAGCCGAGGTTCATGACGTGCCAGATGACGTCATCGCCGACACACACTTTAATCTCGGGCATGTTGCCGTAGGAGTAGCCGTTGACAGCTGGTGGATATAGAAGATTCCAGAAACAGATTGTTTAATACCCTCAGTTTGGAATGAATGTTTTATAGACATTTGTGCAAAAAAATGTGGTTCTTATCTATTAAGCATACACAAATAGTCCTAGAAAGGGATAAATAAAAAACAAGTTAATTAAAAAGTCTAGTGACAATTTTAGCGCAATTTCCTTATGTTATCTAAAAATAGCTCTGACGTATAATGCTGGGGTGCGTTCAAGCTAGGAGAACGATCGGTTTGTAGGTGTTCATGTAATTTTAAAATTTGTGACCGAACGAAAGGATATTTTTGACAACTTTCCACGGCAATATTGTTCTAAATTATGGCAGGAATCGATTGGTAAATGTTTCAAGTCGCTAAGTGGTCTGGTTGCCGAGATATGGGCCAAAATCTGCATTTGTTCGAGGTTTTTTGGCTTTTCCGTGAAACCCAGGAAGGAATTCCGGGAATGTTTTTGGCCCACTATCATCCTCGGAACTTGCTTAACAAATTTGCTTTGGAACTAGTCCTCGATATTGCTTCGTTGAGGAGGAGATACGACTTAAAGCTGCGAACACACATCCATCCATACATTCCCTGAAAAGACGAGTTAATAAACGCAATTCTCCAGAATGGAAATTGCGCTAAAAATTATCGAGATATTAATGACGCTTTGTTTAAGGATTAGTGTGTAGGGGCCTATTCGTTCTCAGTTGATGTTTTCAATGATAGAGATACTAGGAATATTACTATTTGCAAATATCAGAACTCATTTTTATAGGACATTTTTAGTAAATAGTAAATATTAGACACACAAAGTCGTATAATAACGGCATAATCTAAAAAGGAAGGCTTCGTTAGCTAAAAATCGACAAAGAACGACAATCGCAGTTGTAAAAGTTGTATACAACCGGAATCCCATAAGGGAAGAAACCAAAAAGAGGACATAGGCCCAGAGAGATAGATGGTGTAGAGACAGACTATCGCTTCAAGTTTAGGCACGGACGAAGAAACAGAGGCGTAGCGAGGGGGGTGTAAGTACATTTGTCTTCGGGCGCCGACCCTAGGGGGTGCCAAAATGGGTTTGAAAAAAAAAATTAAAAGTTCATTTTAGCTGTAGTTTTGCATTATAAATATACAAAATATATTTGGGGGGGGGGGGGAATTGAAGGTTTGTCCCCGGTCGCCGGGAAGGGTCGCTACGCCTCGGAGAAGAAGACAGCCGAATAAGACTGAATAGACAAGTTTGGTAAAGTTTATCAATTCACTGAATGAGCTGTAGCGCCACTGTGATGGATGAATGACGGGTGTTGTATGATAAAAAAATGGATGTGCTGTATGACAGACAGACTTACTGGATCGCATGTTGGACATCAGGTAAGGGATGGCGTCGCCAGGTTCCGGTTTAGGAAGTTTGAACAAAGATTTGTTTTCATCAAACGTGGCCAGGAGAACAAAGAACTCCAGCGGCTTGTACTGGTAGGATAAAAACAAAATTAAAATTATAGGAAAATCTATATATATATAGAATCTAATTCTCTTCTTGGAGACGCTAGAAAACAAGCTGTAAGCGCGCTCCCTACCACCCCACCCCTGTGGTTCACGCTAAATGTTTACAATCATAGAGCCGGGTTTAGTGACGGCTATTAGGGGCAGATAATTTAGTTTGAAACTATTTTAAACTTAGGGGAGGTAACTAAGAGGAGGCTGCTTTCACGGGGGGGGGGGGGGGGGGGTAGTGTAGGGTAGGGGTTGGGGAAAAGGAGGGGGGGGGTAGTATAGTTCTTAACGACCTACTGATAGTGTTTTAAAGCAAATATTTTCAGTGGCAGCATTGGTACTGTCGAATTCACAAATTATGAATTACTGAAAAGTAGAAAATAAAACAACTAAATAGCGGCATATGATATGTTGCTGGTCGGCTCGTTTAGAATAATTTTATATGGCAAACTATCCATGGTTTCATACTCAAATATATAAGTGGGTGACTGCGCATTGTAAATCCAAGCATAATACCAAATACTTGAGATATATTATAATTATAGTCTAATGTTTTAGCTTATTATTATATTCATCTTGTAGGATGATGTTGCCGATGCAGTGGCGTAGCCAGGATCGTCTCAAGGGGGGGGGGGGGTTCCAATATTTACCCGGGGACAAACTTTCGATTTGCACCCCTCCTCAAACTTTCGATTTGCACCCCCCCCCTTCAAACTTTCGATTTGCACCCCCCTCATACTTTTGATATATGTACCAAGGGGTCTATGGGGGGGGGGGGCGGGGGTTATGACCCCCTAACCCCCCCCCCCTGCCTACGCCACTGTGCCGATGTATCAGACCGCTTCTCTCCGCACAGCTGGTGGACTGAAGGGAACGGCAAAATGTGTAGTTGAGATTAACAAGAAATATTGGCCTCACAAACAAGACACCAATACACTTAAACATGACTTCATCGTTATCAGTATACTAGTCTTCTGTGAGGTTAAACAAAAGAACATTACTGAACAGGTTTTTAAAATTATTTTTAGAATACAATCCCAGTTGTGCCATTTAGCCATAATTATATTGGTCACTAATAATATCCTAAAGGCATTTAGCTAATAACATGTCATATCTAAGTCAAATAGTATGTGATGGTGTTGTGACTAATTTGCCGTACGTCAACAAGATGACAGATGACTTACTGGACTGGCCAGGTAGCCTGTCTGGCACACCAGCAGTGGCCCAACCAACCCGGCGTTGTGATCACCGATGACGTCATGTGATGACGTGTACAGGAAGCTGACGCAGGGTTCTTTAGAACCTTCCAGCAGGTTGGTGGGCACGTCGAAGGTGTAGGTGTGGACCTGGTTGTAGCCGACTTTACCACCTGGTACACCTGGGCCGTCTGTAAGACATGGGGGGGGGGGGGGGTTGGGGGGGATTGTTAGGTTGTTTTGTTTAATAAAGTTAACGTATAAAAATACATTTGATTTCTCGCTTGCTTATTGGGACGGTGTGATCGGGTGGTAGGGAACTCGACTACTAGCCTGGAAAGCCGCGATTCGGATCTAGGGCTCAAGTCTGTAGGACGTCCCTGAGTCCACCCAGCTCTGATGGGTACCTTAAAAAAAAGTAATGGTGACGGGGCATAATACTGACCACACCATCTCTTCATATGCAGTGGTCAAGATACAGATAACCTCTATTCTCATCTGCTCAAGGGACAACTTTCGCTCAAAGCGTTAGTTTTTATCTCTTCTACTTAAGTAAAATTAAAATTTAAACTTTAATTTTAACCCTTTCCGTAAGATTACTTTTAATGTTAAAACTAAGTTAAAACTAAAATATTTAGCTTAACAATTTATCTATCAAAGAGTAATTATTAGACGCGATATTTCTTTTTTTTAAAAGGTTATTACACCATTCACAATTTCAATGCATTTTATTTATTATGTAATTAAATTATTAATTAATGAAAAATTGTACTAGGCCAGTATCTTTTGTTGGAGGATTGATTTTCACTACTTTTATGTATACGAATATCTATTTATATTTCCCCACTAGAACAACATACATGTGTCAGTTTTACCTTTTGCCTCCTCAGAAAAATCGTACCTCATGCCATGAGGCAGGAACGAAACCGGGTAGGGGATGTAATTTTTCAAGGTGACGACCAGCCTGTCCCCGACCTCCACCCTGAGGACTGGCCCCATGACGCCCAGGTATGACTCCTTGGCTGAGCGCGTGACTCTGGTCTTGAAGTAGGAGTCAGTGTACTGGACGAACTGGGCCTTCTTGTACACCCCACCAAAGCGGGTGGCGTTACGGACAAAGAACATGAAGGAGGAACTGAGGGGGTGGGGGGGGGGGGGGGGGTTGAAAATGAAACAAAATTGCATGATTTATTATGTTTTAAGTTGAACTGTATACATTTATATTACAGCGTGTACTCCATGGGTACATGTAAGAGCGGGTTCGTGGCAGTGGCGTACCTAGGATTTTCGGGCTCCTATGCAAAAAGTGTTAGTGGGCCCCTCAGAGGCGTAGCGACCCTTCCCGGCGACCGGGGACAAACTTTCGATTTGCACCTCCCTCAGACTTTCGATTTGAACCCCCCCCCCCCCCTAAGACATTTGATTTGCACCCCCCCCCCCCTCAAACTTTCAAAAAAGGGACCCTATTTGCCTTGGGCCCCTATACCTTGCTTACGCTAGCTTTACGGTAGCTACGCCACTGGTTCGTGGTTTAACACAAAACTCGAACGTTCATAGCTTTGTTTACAATAAAAGTAATAAATAGATGAAATACAATAAAATGTAGTTTGTCGGTTCAACTTTAAAGTAAAAGCTGTATGTGTAATAGCAATACTCTGACATTATTGTATGTATAACTTAACTTCTTCTTCTCCTTCTCCGTTCTTAATTTTTTAGTGTTGGAAGGGATCGAGCCTTATCTGCCAGACGGATTGAACGAGACTTTTTTCGAATTTATCAACCATGAGCTTTTGACTCGACCACGCCTCCATCACAATTAAGGATACGTGTCAACTGGTTATGCGCCATTAAGGCCATTGACTCCGATTTCAGCATGCTTTTCTTTTTGGATTTGCTTCCATAGCCAACCAATAACAAACTACAAGGCAGATGTTGTTTGATTTTGGAGTTGTCTCTCCTAGAGGAGTGGCTGTCCCCAGCTAACGAGCTTCATCTGCCCGTGGGCTCGAGCTCGAGACTTTTTCGGTTTAGCAATCATGAGCTTTACCTACTCGACCACGCCGACCCCTTATAACTTTACTAACATGTACGAAATCTCTGGAATGGGGTGGTAGTGTTCAGTGTTTCTTCCAGACTTTTTTCTCCGGGGGGCACTTGAAATTTTCGGGGGGGGGGGGGGGGGGGGCGGTAGACTTTCTTCGAGGGGGGGGGGGGGGCGGACACTGTTAAAAGTATATATTTTTTATATAAATTATATAAATTTCATTTCGTTCAGGGGGTTATCTGAATGTTATTAGACGTACTTGATGCTTTATATACTTTTTAAAAGTAAAATTAGGTGTAATATTGTTCCATTACCATAAGCATTGTAGCTATTTTTAACAATCAGAACCCCCAAGTAATTTGTCTTAACGTATTGTGTCTTGTGTATCTATCAGTACATTCTCAAAGGAGATGTGACAGGTAGGCGAGGCTAACAACTTGATGAAGGTTTAATTTGATTATCATTTTAGTACTCCATAATGGACGCCCATAGACTTATTTAGGGTTGGCGTCTAGGGGTAGGCGTGTCCCAAAACAAAGCAACCAATCACCTGCTTTTGTCTAACAGAGCGAGACCAGTCCTGGCGTCATATCCTGTCGGACCGTAGTCCCAGTCCAGTTCCTCAGTCTGCAGGAAATATTCCCTGGTTTCCCCGCCATAGCTTGGGGAACTCTGGTATGGATTCTCAGGGCAGTTCCTTACGTTGTAAAAGGCAGCGATGCCCTCTGTAGGAGCCAGATGAGATAATTATGTGGGCACTAGTTCATTGTCTACTGGAGATACATAAGTTATTATGTGGGCAGGAGTAGATATGCTAGTAATATATAAGTGGTTGTGTGGGCAGGATTAGATATATTAGTAATATATAAGTGTGGTTATGTGGGCAGGAGTAGATATACTGGTAATGTAAAAGTGCTTATGTGGGCAGGAGTAGATATGTTAGTAATATATTAGTGGTTATATGGACAGGAGTAGATATGCTAGTAATATATAAGTGGTTATATGGGCAGGAGTAGATATGCTAGTAATAGATAAGTGGTTATATGGACAGGAGTAGATATGCTAGTAATATATGAGTGGTTAAATGGGCAGAAGGATAAACTGGTTATACATAAAGGGTTGTTTGGGTAGGAATAGATGTGCTTGTAGCACAAAGGATAGAAGTAAAATGATTGAACACGGAGTTCAAAACTGTTTGTTTTGAGGTATATGTTTATCATTCAGGGTTAATCTAAGTACCCGATGGTCAGCCAAACCGTTATTCACCGACACGCTCCACTTATCCAAACATAAATTAATAGGATTTAAATATATTTATTTCAAGCAATCTTATATTTACACATATAAACAAGAACAGAAAAAATAGTTTTGAGTTTAGTGAAATACAAACGAATTAGCTGGCAAAATTACTTTTAAAAAGTTGTTTTTTTTATTAGTTTTTATTTACTTAGTTTTACATCAAGTTTAGCTAGGTCGCTGATAGGTGACGGTCACTTGTTATAGTCAATCGGTGGTCAATGATGCAATGTTGAGTCTTATTTGGATAAAAGTGACACAAAAGATGTCAGAATGCCTAGAGTTAGTTCGTCTGGTAAATTTGAACGTCGTCACGAGTTTGAGTTCTTACCTTTTTGATGGTCGTCCACAAAATCGACGAGCAACCATTTTCCTGGGTTGGTCGGGGTTGTCTCAGCGGCTACAAAGGTGGCGCTGTACACTGGGATGGTGTCGCCCCTGCAGAAGAGAAGTTTTAAGTATATTGGTTAAACGTCAGACGGACAATATGTCTTGCTTTCATAAATTAGCGGAGTTCTTTTATAAAATAATGCCCAATAAACGGATCGCCATTAAAAACTCTTTCGAAACGTTCTTTCAAGCATATGAGAAAAGCTATGACAAGCCTCTCAGAAACGTTCTAACAAGCCTCTAATAAAAAATATAACAAGCCTCTAAGAAACGCTACAACAAGACCCTAATAAAAGATATCACAAGCCTATAAGAAATGCAATCACACGACTCTAATAGAAGCTTTGATAGGCCTTTAAGAAACACAATAACAAACACATTAACACTCTAAAAAAATATTCTTTCTTTAACTGTAGCGTTACATCTTTTTCATACATACACAAGTACTAAAAGTTTTAAATATTATCTAAGTAATGGTCAGAGTAGTTGATGCTACCCAAACTGACCTCTTGCCCTGGAACTTGAGGTTCTGACCATGGAAATACATAGAGTGGACGTCCTTCTCGTTACCGAACCCAACCACGTAAAATGCGACCTTGTCACCGACACAGAACTGAAATCAAATTCCATAGTTGTCAAAATCACTGTCAAAACACTATAGGCGGCTTGTAATTGTCGAACAAGGTATATAAGGTCTATGTATTTGCATCACAGGATGTTTCTACATATCAAGGAGATCTATAACTTACACAAATAACATATAAATGCGAATCTTTTCCGGATAAGCCCCGCCAAACCGTTAACACCCGCCACCCAAAAAAGATTATAAAAAGGATATGAAACTTGTACTTTTAGCTTTTAACCCTAACTCTAGCCCTAGCTTTAACCCTAACCATAACCCGAGCCCTAACCCTAGAGGTGGATAGAGGGTTGTTTTTATGACTTGTTTTTAAATATTCAAATGTCTAGATATTAGAAAAAGGTCAAGGTTGCGTGCATGCTGGCAAAAAAAGGGGCGGGGCTTAATTTTTCGCCAGGGCGTTTTGTACATTAGTGGCTGGGGTTTGCCTGGACAAGATCCCGAAATACCTCATTAAAATAAAAGCATATTTTACTTTATTAATTACTTTATGATCAAATTTATTGTATGAAATTATTTCTTTCATTAACGTGAGTTAATAAGCTTCACTTTTGCTTGGTTTGTTGGAAGCTATTGTTTACATTACAACTAAATACCATTTGAAGGATTCAATGATACAGTAAAATACTATTTGTGTTTGAATACTATTTTAATGTCAATACGCGTTAGACCATTTCAAGTCTTCTTCTTCTTCTTCGTTCTTAATTATTAGTGTTGAAGGTGATCGAGATTTATCTGCCAGTGGGTTTGAACTCGAGACTTTGTTCGAATTTATCAACCACGAATTTTTTGCCGACTCGACCACGCCTCCAACACAATTAAGCGTTACGTGTCAACTGGTTTTGCGCCATTGACTCCGATTTCAGCCTGCTTTTCTTTTTGGATTTGCTTCCATAGTCTTTGTCCAACCAAGAACAAACTACAAGGCAGCAGTTGTTTAATTTTGGAGTTGTCTCTCCTAGAAGAGTGGCTGTCCCCAGCTAACGAGCCTCATCTGCCCGAGGGTTCGAACTCGAGACTTTTTCGGTATAGCAACCATGAGCTTTACCGACTCGACCACGCCGACCCCTACTATTTCAAGTAAAATTATCAACAGTGCTATTTCTTACATCTAGTCCGTTCAAGGTACCAAACCCCGGCCGTTGATTGACTTCATCAAATTACTCTCAATAAAATCTGGGTCGTTGACCTTCAGGAGACGACGACAGAGGTCAGGGTCGCCGCAGTAGAGGTCAATGTTCTCCAGGATGTAGTTGCTGAGGTTCTCGTCCCAGTTCATGACGACAAGAGGGATGTCGATGTCCACGTCAGTTCGACGGTTGGAGCTGTCCAGCACGCCTGGCGGATGTAAGGTTTATCAATTTTAATTGGCAATTATCGAGTTATGTGTTCCTATAAGGAAGTTATTTCAATCCTACTATTGTTTTAGACTTATGTTCCTGTAAGTTTTTAGCGTTCTAGTATCGTTTTGGATTCGTATTCCTATAATTTCTTAGTCCTAGTATTGAATTCTATTTGAGTTTCTGTAGGTAAGTTCTATGTTTCTTACTATTGTGTTAATGTCTCAAATTTTATGTCATATAAACCCGTATTTTAATGACTGTTGCAATTTTGTTATAACCAGTGAACTATGAAATTGTTATCACTGTACAATGTAAAGACTGGGGTATGGGGTATCGGAAATTGATAATGCATATTGGTAAACAAACACCATGTTTTTCTCGATGCTTTTGCAAATATCACACGTTATTACAGCAATAAATGTACAATATTGAATACAAATTATAAACCGAAAACCTAAAAAGCGAAACCATATATTATGTAGTTAACTTTCTTGCTGATAGAATTATACACTAGTGTTTTGTTTTTGTTTTTTGGAAACAGCCGTGATAAACTGGAGTTACCTTTCTTGCATACCGCGATGAGAAAACTAGAGTTACCTTTCTTGCAGATAGCGGTAATTAAATTAAACTAGAGTTACCTTTCTTGCAAACAGCGATAACACCAAACAAGCCAGTAGGGATGTCGTTCTTGGAGAAAATGTGGGAGTGGTACACGGAGGGGATACAGTTGGGGTCCTCGGGGGTCGGGGCGTCGTTTTCAGTGACGACCCACTTTTGGAGGATGCGCTGACCAGGCATGACGTGGTCGTCCTCTTTGAGAAGACCGCTGGTCTCATCCAGGTACAAAGCTCCTGTAATCATACATGTATAATATATTAATACACATCTGCTGATTTCTATCAGAATGTTTAACATCAATCAGAGGACTGGTTTTTCGAGTTGGGCCTAAGTTTATCGATAAAAGAGAAAACAGGGTTGGGTGACTGAGTACACAACTGCTAACCTGAAAGTCTTAAGTTCTGATTGCAGGTTCACATAAAGCTGATGGGTACCTGACTCTTATTTAAGAGAGTAAAGGCGGCTAGGCATTGTACTGTCCACATGATTTCTGTATATACTCAGGTCTTTTTTTATAGCTGAACTCTACCGCAGTATATATATATATATATATATATATATATATATATATATATATATATATATATATATATATATATATATATATATATATGTGTGTGTGTGTGTATATATATATATATATATACATATATATATATATAAATATATATATATATATATATATATATATATATATATATATATATATATATATATATACATATATATATATACACACATATATATATATATATATATATATATATATATATATATATATATATATATATATATATATATATATATATATATATACTGCGGTAGAGTTCAGCTATATATATATATATATATATATATATATATATATATATATATATATACATATATACATATATATACATGATAATATTATGTATGTATATATATATATACATGTATATATATATATATATATATATATATATATATATATATATATATATATATATATATATATATATATATATATATATAATATCATTTTTATGAATGAAGTGTCACATCAATTAATTTATCAACGTATATGTTTTAACGGTATTATCCACACTAAGGTGCAGACAGCACATCTGTCTAACTCAAAGTGCAATTTAAAAAATAGTTTTGATTTACGAACTTTAAAACTCATCCCTGGGGTAAAAAAGCACAAGTATATAAAGGCAATAAAACCACAAGCTTCGCAAAAAATAACATGATTGATGTGTGAATTAATTACTTGGATCGCCTACTCATGGCCATAAAAAAAGTTTCTTTTAACGGGAGGTAACTCGAAGAATTCTTGAACAAGATACCTTCACTCCCCTTTAAGTAGAACAAGCCATGGGCGTGCGTGGAGAAGTTCCTGGAAGCGTTGTTGTAGAAGTGGAGGTTGATGATGTCGCCCACCTCAGCCCGGATGGTGGGACCCAGCAGGCCTTGGTACGGCGGCTTGATGACCTCTGTGGTGTACGTGTTGTCCGTGTACTCGTAGTAGATCGTCTTGTGGTACAGACGTCCGATACGGCCTTGACCTCTGAGTAGGTACCTGTCTGCTGTTCTAAAAATAGAAAATGACGTCTTCAGAAATACCCAATACTGTTTTTCTTATTTTTTTTTCTCTGAACTGCACAGAGTATATT